TTACTTTCTCGGGAGGGCGATGTGCTTGTGCGACAACGGCTCGCTGACACGCGTCATCGAATCCTGTGTGGTAAGTCCCATACTTTGTCAGTCTTCAACGCAACTCACCATAGTTTCATTACGCAGGCCGCCAAATCTCGTACAACATGCAGTGTGACTATCACCAAGATGGCAAGAACTCAAATCTGCTTGACTCTGTTTTCTTCCTAGGGCAAGCATACAAGGGAGCAAGGTTTGTATTATCCAATTTAGGAGTTACACTCTGTGGAGATCATGGGTATTCTGTCCATGGTCTATTTAAAGTCTTAGTCCACTCTGTCACCCACATACTCCCCGACACCAATCACACTCAACCCCCACAGAGAATATCTTTAGCCATCTATAACCATGCAGATGCTTTTGCTGGAATCGCAAGATATTCTGCAGCAAAAGATCAAACAGGACTATTCAGTAACCCTTCATTGTGGCTGCCCCTGTCCCCAGGCAACTTTTCTGTTTCCGACTGCGTCAAAAGCAGCTAGGGAAGGATTATCATGAGATGAAATGAAAACCAAACTGTTTAAAGCTTTCACATAGATTCCTATTGAAACAAATTGCCACATTGACCCACACAAACACCGATCATCCCAAGCAGATCTGATATCCTGTATGTCGATCAACTTATGAGCAGGTCTCTGCCCTCATACGTGATTATAATCGGGTCTATACCCTTAGATGTTTCATCAGAATCTAAGCGTGACTCTTTGTAAAAACTGAACCGGCTAGGTCTTTGAAAGTATTGTCTCGATATGAAGAATTGCGGTGACTCTAGGTAGCCTAGAACAAGTATCTATTCAAAGCCTGTGTATGTTCAGTGGCATACGGTTGTTGACAACCGAGGCCACAGTCAGTCTTGATGAAAAAGACTCAAACCCCTGATCTTTCGATTTCATCTAACTATCTATTGCTGATGATGTTCAACTGTTGCTAAATATAGCTGCCTTTGTAATATGGCTTAGATTAGCCTGATCAGCGCAGGGGTAGGACCTTTTGTCGCTAATGGATGATTTGATTATCGCATCAGTGTAAATGCCTTGTATATTGACCGCATTTTTCCGTGATATGTCTTGTAATTTGATTCATGATGAAACTTACACAACACTGACCAACACAGTTGGTGGAAGTTCCGACATTGTCTTAGGTTACATGTGTCTCAATTTGAATGCTCAGGTTTTGATCATAAAGCGCTCATCCGAAGTCTCAGCTTAATCTGAGTTGGATTATCATCAGCATATCCATATCAAGGGTTCCTTTGAGCACCTCCCTCAGTAGACTGAGCTGAGAACTCCTCAGTTGTGCTTGGAAATGATAATACAGTCCATCAAGTTTATCAATCGTTCCAGTGTTCATTACCCTACCTCTTTTATCCATCATTCTGCATCATTTTTAAATCGTCCAACCTCTCTCTCAATAAAAATTCACTATCTTAAGTCAATACCGAACATTTCCGATCCTCATCCTACTTGTACATCCATTATACCTTACCTCCCCACTTGGCGTGAAAGACATGAACAGAGTCCCATGTGGTAAATTCAGTGCACTCCAAAAGTGGAGTGACAAACAGTGCCTGGCCATGAAAGAAATGACACGGCTTCTTCATCGAAAATACAGCGGTCTCCGAAGCGATATGAGGCAGAAGTGGCGCTCTGTTTCAAAACCGCAAGAAGATACTGGTGAAGTTTTTACCTTGAAAAAGAAAGTCTCCATGGATTTTGCTTACATATTCCTCTGATTGTTCTGTAGCCGTACCCCCTATGCACAGAACTTCCATGTGCTCAGATAGTCATCTTTGGACCAATGATGATGCCGATGAGGAATACAAAGAGGGTGAGCTGTGTTCTTTTAGGGCGTGTTTAACAACTTACACACTGACTCTGTTAAACTTAGGTGATCTAATCCCATCGACTCCAATCTGTGCCTGCAAAAAAAGCGCAATACAGAGACTGTTAGGGGATGGGGTGTCCAAAGTGGACTGTGTACTTGATGGTGGTAAATGCATGAAGCACACCTACAACCGATTTTCTTCCGAACTGTTCACTCATATCTACTGTTCACTTCTGTATGTGCTAGAATATGGGGGACACGTCCCAAACTGTACTTTGGTTTGAGATAATTCATTTGATCTAGTAGGGTTAAGTGGGCAAGTATAACGGATAAGTCAACCGGCAAGGTTAGCTCACGTCCACGGCTTCGGCTCCACAAGTGATGATGATTCATTACCTATAACGGATAAGTCGACCAGCAAGGTTAGCTCACGTCCACGGCTTCGGCTCCACAAGTGATGATGATGTGGAAGCCGATGCCGAGGCGGAGAGACTATATCTACACTACGCTGTACAACTGTCACGTGATCTGCTGTGGCGCAGTCGTGTACACACAACACTCTACAACAGCAAGCCCGCTGAAGTAGTTTACTTTCAGCACACTGTATATAACATTCATGATTCATTCATGAGCCAGTTGCTGCCAGTTGGTTATGGCGAAAGTTGCTGCTGATACAGCCCTCCTGTTCGACATTGATTACTGACCTCTTGAAAGTTTCTAGATTTTTGTCATAATTTTCCCTCATACTATACATCCCATAATGGAATGAATTTCCTGGCTCAGTTTAGTTGTTGTCAATTAAAAGACCTGATTTCTGCTGAATGTCTTAATGTGTAGTCCATGAATTTGTTAAATTAACTACATACAGGATCAATTTCTTAGACAATTTAAAAAATATAATTCGTTAAATTGTCCTTACCTTTTCACTATACTGAAAGGACACTACTTTTAGTAGAATTGAAGTAGAATAGTTCAGGTTTGAAACTTGGTAGGGCGCTTACGTATTCAATCATGCGTGTTAGATAACCACGGGACATAGTTTGTAATTTGATTCTATGAGTGTTTATTGATGAGTTGCTTTGTCAGCATCTGAGAATCAGTGAAGAAGTCGTCAATTGGTTGAAAACATAGGATATATTTTCACAACTTTAAACGGACAACCTGAACCACAACAAAACAAGATATTAGGAGGGCATATTTGGAATAGAGCCGCTGGTTCCATCTAGATAAGGGTGGTGACAAGTGTATAATGCAGGAGGTAATCACAACTCCCTCTGTCTCAAACTGGCAAACACACCTGTGTCTTTGAGGATGTCCAAGTCTCCTAAGCATGGAAGGACATCAAAATAACATAAGAAGGAACAATTTACACAGGTGAGAACAAATATTCTTTTCACAGATGGTGACAAAATAGAAAACAGAGTCGATGCCAAGCTTTTGATTGAAGCCTGGTTTGGTGTATGTAGTGTAAAAACTCAAGAAGCCACATAGCATGATACAAATGATCATTTTACCTCCTCATGAAGTCCGACAGTAGTGTGATGGAGAGTGGGTATTTCAATTCAATTCATAGAGTGAGGAAGTAGGATAGAGGACGAATCACAAGACTTCATCAACTTAGCCCTGGATGGTAGGCGGCGCCTTTGACTTTGATTCCTGGACTGCTGCCGCAAATTTCTGGATGATGTGACGCATGGCGTGAACCTCATCCTTGACTGATAGTTGATGATCGGCGATATGGAATCCTACCAATGATGCCTGAGAAACAAAGCAAAAACAATGAGCGCTATACTTGACTGATTTGGAACAAAAGTTGATGCACTTTGAAGAAGGCTACATTATTGCGATACGCAACCAGCGCGCTTCGCAAATCCTCGAGCCGTCGCCAAGTGTGCATCAATTCTTGAACACTCTCCGAAGTTAAGGCGATGTCACGCTTCAGCTGCTTGCTGCTCCAAGATTTGCTGTCCAACAACTTTCGCCACAAGGTGGTTGGTTCATGTACCTGGACAAGCTTCTGGTGATGCTGGAGCAGCTCTGATGTTACAAAAGTCGCTTGGTCCCCCGCACGCGCGACCATGGGCAGTGTATGCTCGATTTGAAGGAGGAGTCGCGAGAGGTCCACGGAGAGATGATCATAAAGCAAGTCGAGATTGTGTGAGATAGTCTGTGCCGAGTACTTTGAATCCCCGGTGTGAACAATTCCGATAAGGTCTTGAATCCTGGAAAACTATTGTTTGTGACATTTCTAGTGGTAAGCCAGAGCATTTTGAAGAACAATTAAGAGTGACGCACCTCATGAGCAATGAAGGAAAATGAATTGATGCCTTGACTATTGAGACCTATGAGCCTATCTTTTACGTCCTTAGTCTGCTCGCTAAGCTCCCACAGCTGGATTGCTAGCATCTCCCTACCCTCGAAAGCTGATGAATACTGAATAGTAAGGCTGAGCTCCAGTATTTCTGCTTGGTGGAGTGCAAGGTTGAAAGGGTTTCCGATGCCGGTGACGGAATCAAAGATGTCGGAGGAGATTTGTGCACTTGTGGCTACGGACCTCGTGATTTGTGACAAGGGAGGGGCTGTGCCCTCATTCGGAGCAGCTTCGCAAAATGATGTACCTTGGAATAAGGTGCAGTACACATAGGCGATGCTGGCAAGCAGACTGGGCGGAAATTTAAAGTGTTGAAGAAGGTTTGTAGAAAGAGAGGTCACAAGATGGTTGAACACAATGGGTGTCAACACCAAGACAAGCAAAAAAAGACCCAGGAAGCAGGCAGCAGAACGCAACATGGCTTGGATAGTAACGAGGTCTGAAACTTGTTAATAGTGAGATTGTGGGAAGTGTGGCTGACTGTTCTTGTGGAGCGTGAACTTGAGGGAGGGAGAGAATGGGGAAAGCTTGATGTTTCCTTGATATTTCTAGTAACTCGTGAGTTGTCTTCCTGAATGGGCAAAGTGTGTTAGGTAATTGTTTAGGTTTCCTCTGATGTTTTCCAAGTTAACCTTTGTTTGTATCTGTGCTCACCTTTGCCCAAACTTCCTTATCGAACTTTTCATTCCTTTATCGACTGATCTGCATTCCCCAATCAGATCTGATATCCTGTATGTCGATCAACTTATGAGCAGGTCTCTGCCCTCATACGTGATAATTGGGTCTATACCCTTAGATGTTTCATCAGAATCTAAGCGTGACTCTTTGTAAAAACTGAACCGGCTAGGTCTTTGAAAGTATTGTCTCGATATGAAGAATTGCAGTGACTCTAGGTAGCCTAGAACAGGTATCTATTCAAAGCCTGTGTATGTTCAGTGGCATACGTTTGTCGACAACCGAGGCCACAGTCAGTCTTGATGAAAAAGACTCAAACCCCTGATCTTTCGATTTCATCTAACTATCTATTGCTGATGATGTTCAACTGTTGCTAAATATAGCTGCCTTTGTAATATGGCTTAGATTAGCCTGATCAGCGCAGGGGTAGGACCTTTGTTGGTTCCGCCAAGATGAAAATGTTGAGTCAGAAAGTTGCCCATATCAGCATCACCCTTTTTGCCCATCAAACTAATCCCCAGAATTCTCTCACTCATGAATACACACAAATTAGCTATGGAGCCAAATGAAGCGGGCAGTTCATACTTGATGCACCTCGATCTAATCTCTAAAACCATCGAGGCCTGGTTACACTATATACCAATGACCGCCGGGCTGGCTGAATGCCTAGAAGCTGTCACGGCGCTTGCTGATAATGAAATGGAATGTATGTCACCCCCGGTGTTACTTGAGTTCTTCCAACTGACGCTCGTTTTCTGTGATTGTCATCTGGTTGTTGCGTCAATGATCTGCTTCATCAGCATTCAAAAAACTTACATCAAAATCAATCCACCTAGAACGTGTTTCCAAACAGGATGACTTGAAAACCAACACAGCCAAGCACAAAAGTAATATACTTCATACCCCATCAATGAGTTCATTTAAATCTCTAGCGACGCTGGATATCTATATGACTCCACTGGACAAGGTGGACGATGCACTCAGTGTGTCTGGAGCACTGCGCCATCTGGTCAACACTCAACAAGATACGTCTCCGACACTGAATATGCCCCAGACCAACAAAAGAGCTCGCACACCGGACAAGAACATGAGGATCAATCGGTCTCCCCGCCGTTCTGCAAGGCTCTCTTGCTCTGCAAAGAAGGTTACTACTCAAAGGTTGGATCCATTCGCCTCTGATGGACCATCAACCTCGGGATGTGTCAAAAGGCAAAAGACGCAAATTTCTGATAGCCAAGAGGTTCATCATCCTACACACCGCTTGCCAACCGCCTCACCATCTCCGAGTCAAAGCGCGAGAATTGTACCTCCCACACCGGAGGTTCATAGCTCAAACGTCTGATCTCAAGAAATCAAAAATACATTGAATCTATTGAGAACCCGCAGTTCTCCACCATGTCCTTCTGTTGCTGATAAGTCCAACTTGCTTTGGAACCAAAAGATCGATCTACATCTCAGCAAATCTGTCAAAAAACGAACCATTCTTGTCACCGAAGTTTCCGCGATACACAAGGCCTCACTTGTATTATTCAACACTTTGACAAAAGGCTCTTGCACTCAATTCAACCCAGATGAGTTGCTTTCTCATCCTGTGACCTTCAGCAGCACAGGAGAGCCACGCATCCGTGAGTGGTGCCGCAGGGCAGAAAGTGAGGCATCTCTGCATTGATCATCATGTTTTTTTCGTTGCTGATCATTTAAAACGTTCTTCTAGATGAAAAATTATTCACGACCAACAAGGGAACAATATGGTATCAGCCACAGATCTTCAATTTTCTCACAATCTCAACTTCTTTGCCGCCAGTTGGAATTTTGATTCATGAGCGTTACCTGTGGGAGACGATCAAATTCTTTCACAAACCAAGTCCACATTTTCTCGAACGGAGTATGCACTACGTCCTGGCAGCGCTTGTTCTGATAGGAACTGATGCAAACAGGATTCTCCCAGCCACTCAAATCCCTCACCAAGCAGCTATGTCTTCTGGGACCCGTAATGCTGTCACATGCTGGCACCACTTCAAAGAACTTTCCTCACTCCAATCAAATAAAATTGTAGATGAAAAATCGGCAACCCCCGGTGGCTGTATCGAGGATCTGGACCGGTTAATAATGTTGATCTACACAATGATTGAAACATTTGCAAGCATATGGGCCTCAACAACCCTCGATGAAGAAATCTCAAGACTGACAAACCTCATAGCCAGTGCTGAATCACCCAAATCCGCGGAGGCCCTCACGACACTGAAAGATGAGCTAACTGCAACTCGTAGTCAAATCGTCATATCACCCAACAATCTCCCAGCGCTTGCGAGCTTTCTCTGTTGCGGCGTCAAAGGCTTGATGATTTTCCCCAAAGACAAACACACCTTTGGGCCTCTCCGTGCAATTAACTTCTTGCTTGTCACAGCTGATCTCACAAAGCAGGGCCAAACGGTAGAAGAACCGATCTGGAAAAGAACACAAGCATACATAGTGGACTTTATGAAAGGCGTGATTCAATCAAGCAGAGAATGGGTTCCATGCGAAGTCAATCGGTATCATCTGGCAAAGGCGCTGTTCCTTGATTTTTCAGATTTTTTTCTGGCGCGTGATATAAGAAAAATTCCGATACCAACGACGAGGAACTATAAGGTCTCGGACAAGGAATGTTCCTAAAGGTTGTGGGTTTGCAGTCATAAAGCAATGTGTAGAGTAGTTTTGCATGTAATATTCACCTTGAGATCATTTTGAGATGCTGGAACACAACAACTCTCATTCTTTGCTCGTGATTATGCTATCTTCTTCTTGGTTGTTTCTAATCCTGACTACTGTGTTTTTCTCAAAACTCTATCTTCTCCTGCATCATTTTGAATCTTCATCACTGTGTGCTTGTTGTTGGGCTATCTTACTCTTTGTTATTTTATGATAATCCTTACTGTACATATGTATTGTTTTGTAGTTGGCAAACAAAAGTTTCAACATGCATCACAATCAGCAAACAATTTTCTATGCATGTCGTGAGAATTTGCAAAAAGATAGGAAAGGAATGTTGGAGAATTCCATTCTCTTGTAATGTTGTCAAAACCATCAAGGATGAAAGGACTCAATGGAGCTCAATGGTTAAAGACAAATCAACTCAAATTTGATTAAATATAGATTGTGGATTAGTAACAAGGATGATGTGAGAAGGAGATGTCTGGATTGGGATTAAATCAAGTAGGTATTGTTTAGAATGTTAGAAGACTGTGTCTGTACTGGGATTAATTAGATAATGGTTGTGTTTTGTGTTGTGTTCATGAAAAATTGTCTCCTGTGTTGTTTCTCTCATGAACCCTCCACTGTCTCAAACTTAACTAAGTCCCTACGCGGACCTAACCACCATCTCCCGCGCACTGTCTCCTTTCACATCCTTTCCCCATCGAGGAAATTGATTTGAAAGGTAAGATTAAAAAAATCAATTGTCTTTTCTCTTATATTTAATGTGTTGATGTTACTAAAGTCTTTTATGATCACCTATACTTCGTTCATTGATATCTTTTTCTCTTTTCTTTACTTGTAGTTTTCCTATTCTTCTATCATCCTTGCTCCACCTCTAGGTTCGTCTACCTCGAGTGTAGAACTCGGTATTTCTGTTGTCAGCTGTTGCCTCATCAGCACAAGGCTGAGAGTATTCTTTCACCTTTATGAAGGTTCGTCTACCGGTTCACTGCGTCGAGCGTGCAAACCTCATTTTCTTACAACGAACCTTGACGATTTCTCGACTACCTGCCCAATACAACAACCCACTGTATATTGAGATGTTTGAAGACTTCTTAACACTGCCAGCATTAAAGAGATTCCCGGGTGGGAATATGGGTCCCAGGAACCAAATGCCCCATTTGTTACTGCTAAATATCTTCATAAGTATTTCCTCAGTAGCCATGGTGATATATGTAGTCAATCTTTTGGGCTGTTTGTTGCAATTGTAACAAAGTTACAGAACATATTACATGTGAATTTCTCAACCAGATGAGCAGGTAACTGAGCGGAGCTATATGTAGATGACAGCTAAGTATTCACTCAGATGTTTGCACATATGTAACATATACTTTATTGCTCAGATGGCCACTGTGTGATGGCTTCATGACCTATTCTACTCTCAAAAATGTTCCCAGCCTAGTGCTGATCCCACTGTATATTGAGATGTTTGAAGACTTCTTAAGGAAAGAGAAAGAAAAACTGAATATAATCTTGAATTTGAAAAGATGCAAGGCCGGAGTGCTTACTTCTCAGTACTATGATTTTCCATCAGTAAAATTGGTCCTCAGTATCTTCTGTGTGCCTATTCCTTTTGAGGCAACCTTTTAGCTTATCACATTAAACTTTATCAATATGTCAACAGGTTGAACAACATCAATGATCAGACAAGGTTTAGATATGCAAACAAGAAGTAAGACTATTCAGAAATGCTGGAGTATGTTGACCAGCACTGATAGTGATTTAAATTTATAATCTTGAGAAGTAAATTAATCCCCAAATTACGAGACTTTCTTTTGCAAGATAATGATGACAAGGAAATCAATGAGCATCACAACACTAGTTTTTGCTATTGACCACCCTTTTCCCTGTTGGGCTATTTCCAAGTTTTGTCTGAAAGATTTACATAGTCCAATGAAAAAACTCTCATGTCTTCAAAACACTCATTGAATCTTCTCTTATGTTTTTCCATATTTGCTTCAGATATGCACATATTTGTTTGTAATTATCTATGAACTTTGGCGATTTTTTTGGGGCAGCATGAAATATCACTAGTAGGGTCTGTTTAGCCCGTTAGAATGTATGCATATCTAGCTTTGGGCTGACTTCCACCTTGATCAAGTTTACCAAAAGCTCATCTACATTTTCATCACCAAATCTTTTGAACAAAATTCACTTGAAGGAAAGTTGCAAAAAGTAGCCAGAGCGGAACTATAGTTACACTATATCACTGAGCAATCATTGCAAAAAGAAAAAAGACACCACAGCACAGCCAACAGATAGCCATGTAACAGGAACAAAAGCCTTGCAAGTTGATGGAATAGGCTAACAAACGTCAAGGGAAGTTATTTGGATTTTCAGCCCAATGAAAATGCGCGATGCGGAAGGAATTTATATGCCACGTACAAAATTTATTCTCCAGGGTTGAGTATTGTATTTCGAGCGCTTGGAGAGTTTCGTGAATAATCAGATACTTTTCCTGCATGAGAGCAAGGTTTTCACGCCCCATCCGTTGAAAATACCGAACATCATCAAGAAGGTTTTCTGCCATGTCAGAGATTTGTGAAGTCCTCTTTTCCAAGAGGTCTAGGCGTTGTCTTGTTTGTTGGACATCAAGAAGAATATCACTGAGCCCCTGTGATGCTGCTCTCCAATTTTCTGACAGATGATGAAAGGAAAGCATTCAATATTGAAATACATCAGGGACATAGATGACAAATCCGTGGTATCGCTTACTTGCATTGTCACAAGCCTCCATCTCCACCCGGGTCCGTATATGGGATAATTCCGCTTGTGAATGTTTCACTAGACCGTGAAAAATTGATGTCTGTTGCTTAATTGAATCAAGCACAAATTCTGGGGGAAAACTATTCAGTGACACATAGGTGAACAGGCAAGAAATATTCTAACCTTTGAGTGCTCCACTGGTCTCTAGAGAGATCCCTGATAGACTTCGATCAACAGAAGCTGCGGTTGCTGTGGGCTTCACAGTGACCACTGCAGAGGAATTGGGGTCCATTCTCTCTTAAGTTTTAGCAATCTAACGTCTACGGTCTCCTTTGAACAAAATCGAATTGAAAGATAAGGTAGAATACTTTGTGCTGAAGATTGTGATAGAAACACTGGAGACTGTCAGAAGGCGGTATATATATATACCAAATATGCGCTAAGGCTTGGGTTGATGAAGATGGTTCAGCGCTACCTTGACTTTTGAACGGAAGATGAGCCGTATGTCAGGGGCTTATTGCTTTATTGAAGGCCAATTCTCTTGAGGGACTTCTAGTCATTTAGAACACCTTTGTGTGCGCCCCCATTATCCCTTGGAATTATTTCCTGCTGAGCTTTGCAAAGACTTGAAGACTGGGCATCTCGAGTTAAGCCAATAATGTGGGAACAACCTCTTGGTGATTCTCAAACTACCCGTTCATAAAAATGAGTCAGGTGAGAGAAGGTATGTAATGAGAATGTTTGGGAATATTTCTGCCACAGTCCCTTTGTTATTTCAACTGTGTATCTGAACACATATGTAAAGTAGTAATTCGAATCCTGAAACTGCTCTTGCGGCTCAGGATTTGGTTCAACCGATGCTTACCCAACTGATGATGCACATTACCAAAGGAACTCTCGGCTCTCATACTTTAACAGGTGAGAACTGCTTTCATAGCGGCTCAGATATTTACTGATACATATCATTCCTCCCTCACTTATCCCTCAGCAAGCAACCCAATAGTCATGAAGAACCGTAAGCTCCCATCCAAGGCTAGCAAACAAAACACCAACGGTCGGTTCCCAAATTTGTAATCAACAGAATTTGTTACAGTAATGCTAACGAGACTTTCTCCCCTTGTGGTGTTTCATTTTACACCTGTACTCATTGGTGGTCGACAGGAGACTCTACAACAGTGCTAGTCCAGCGCAAAATCGATCCCTTGGAGACATCCAAACACAAATGTGAGGCACATTACATTAAACTTGATGCGCAGGACAGGAGCACTTACTTTGCACCAGTAGGGAAATTTGTCTTTCTAAAGTTTCTTTGTATTGCCATAGCTTGTCTTTTGTTGGCAATGCTAGTGGCAATTTGGATCAATGACAAACTGCCAAGCCTTTCACCATCTTTCTCCACAATTCAGGCTTGACAACGGCCTGGAACGATTCCTGTGCCGGGTTAAACACGCAGTTTGAGACCTGGTTTGAAATAATCGCCCCCAACAACCTGTGCAAGGAGGTGGTTCAATCGGTGTTGGTGATATTATATATAGCGGCTTACTTTTTGTAAACACTGGAAACAAACAGAATTCAGAATAATTATATCCATTACAGAGTGTATTTTCCAACGCGTTCAAATTTGGTTTGGAAAAACAGAAGGGCGTGAATCACAAATAGAAAGACGTAGACATCCAACTGACGCATATAAATGCCCTGATAGCAGAGTTATGGGTCCCGACTCACACGAGTGGTGGCTTAGTAATTGGCAAATCTTACCGTAGTTTAGGTAAGGTGATACAAATGTGATGGAACTTCTAAGAAGACGGAAGCTAAGACAAAGGATTTAGTGAGGATCACGACCCACATGTGCATGTCCCCAAGTGAAGGCCAAGCTGCGCTGATTTGCTAATAATCTCTGACTTCGATTATTGAAGATTGATCTCCGCTCCGCAGAAGACCACAAGATGTCAAATGACACGCAGTGTCTTTGACTCAACAGGCCAAAGCCGCCCGCATACCACCGATTTCCTCCCCCAAGCTCTAGCTCATCAGAAGATATCTCCTCAACCTCAGAAGACTACGAGAGACTCGCCAACCAGGTCACGATACTTTCCACCAGCTTGTCACAGATGGAGAAGTTTTCAAGAATACAGATTGAAGATGTTTTGTTGAAGATAGATAACCTGAAGCAGAATGTTGCTATCCACGGAGACAATTTTACACGACAAAATACAACCTTGATTGATGAAATTGGCGATTTGAAAGCACAGTTCCAAAACTTTCAAGATGGCTTGGAATGTCGTTCAAGATTGAAAAAAAGGATTGGATTGTTGGAGTCCAACATGAAAGAAGTGCGAAAGGAACTGGAAGACCATTTTGAAGGATGTTCTCTTACTGACTTACGGGTGAAAGAGAGCATGAAAACGATCAGGGGTGAGTCAGAAACTTCTATTGCACCATTTTGCAGCTATCTGAGATCAAGTTTTTGTTGCATCCTCAGAGCGCTGTAGATGTGCCGATCAAGAGCCCAGAGACTCACGATTCCAAATTGTTACCACAGATGGTGATGACGTCTGCAACATATTGATAGACATGGCTACCTTTCACAAACACGTCAGGTGTTGGTTGAAGAACGTCAAAGGTTGATGGTTTTCTTTTTTGCATTCATGCATGCAGCTGACAAGATGTTATCCACAGAACGGGATGAGACACTACTGCAACTGGCACTCCTTCAATTTAACCTAACCTATCCGACGTAAAAAGAATCGGTCCCGACCTAGCGGGTCCGCAAATCCCTTCTAGATTTATCTAGATACATAGATACATCTCTGGTGACCTCAAAATTTGGCTAAGTTCCCTTTCTGCTCACCAACAGGAGACCACCCCCCTGGCACAAGTCCCACCCTTCTCACCCCCTTTTCACCACCCTCTCACCACCTTTCCACCACCCTCTCACCACCCTCTCACCACCTTTTCACCACCCTCTCACCACCCTCTCACCACCTTTTCACCACCCTCTCACCCCCTTTTCACCACCCTCTCACACCCTTTTCACCACCCTCTCACCCCCTTTTCACCTCCTTTTCACCACCTCTCGTTGTCCCCTCTCACCGCTGTCTCACCACTCCTTCACCACCCTTTCACCCCTTTTCCACCACCCTTTCACGAGCTTCATATTTCATAAATACTTGCATTAGGTCAGGTCTTCCTTTACTGAAGTGACGGACCTCACTTGTACCCTTCACCACCTTGATAATCCACCATTTTCACGTATCTCAATTCCCAGACATGCCATACAGCACTCGAGCAACATCCGGTGGTCGTGGAGGTGGTCGTGTTGGATCAAGCACCCGCATCCGACATGAATCCCAGTCTTCTCCTCACCGTTCCGATTCTTTCGAAGACGAAGATGAAGACTCCGACGAAGAAGACCCTTCAATACCAGCAACCATTGTTAAGAAGCGCAAACGGAAGACACCAACCATTCTTCCCACAATCCACAACTACCACGAACTTGGCCTTGAATGGGGCCAAGTACGTGCTGACAGGATCCTTGCTCGTCAACCTCACCTCAAGACCCGGACACCTGCAACGTCTCTCTTTGAAGCTCAAGCACTTCAAGCTCAATACAACTTAGACAAGACAATGCTCTGTGTAGCCGAGGGAATCAGCCGATCAACACTCAATGCTTCGCTGTAAGTTTGTCCCTTCTGTCAAGCCCTTTGCTTTATTCATCATGTGTCCCTATTATAGACACGAAGGTGAGAGAATCTGATGAAACTCGAGACACCTTGGTAGAAGCCAGCAATCAGGCTACAATACGTCTAATGGTTCTGAGCACCGTGAAAAAAGGTAACACACCTATAAAGGTGATAACAAATAGTGCGTATGATAATCTAAACAACATGATAGAGTGAGTTATCTGCACTACATTTAACAAAGATGTGATGTAATAAAATGGGAAAGAGCTTACACGCCAATCTTCCTCAGTGAACTGGTGAGGAAGAGAGGCGTGTGCGGAGTGTGTGATCTAATCTAGATGTGATATAGTGATGAGATTTAGTTAGGTTAGAAATCTTGATGAATTAGGTCTGAGTTTGAAGAATTAAGTTTTGTATTCAATTATAATTGAGTTTGATTTAATGTAGTTTGAGTTGAAGATAAGATAATTTGATATGATGTAGTTTGAGTTGGAAATAACATAGTTTGATGTGTTTGAAACTATACTTTGTATTCCAACACACCCCCTCAAGCACATCAAACAGAATAAGCGAAAGAAATGAATCATAGTGATAGCTGTTGGATGATTAGGCAAAACCTAAAGTTTCTTTCTATGGCGGTGACTCTTAAGCGTAAGAGCAGGTGTGAGAGGTAGATAGATAGGCGAGTGGTTTTGTATACGATCAGCATTTGATAGTTTAAGTGGAGAAGACGAATTATGTCTAGTTTGATCTAATCCAAGGATCATTGGTTTCAAAAATTCCAAAGGTAAATTTTTACCAAAACTATAACGATTGTCATGACAAGGTAAATTGAAACCGGGTCCAATTGAAATTATTCTGGATGCTAAACCCAAGGTCCCAAAGTAATCTCTTTGTGGAGATGGAAATGATTTTGCGAGTTTGTAAGTATGATTTAGATATTTTGATGATAAGCATTGGGTTGATAGTTGAGCTGGATCTTGTGGTAGTAATTTAGATATCCAACCCGCCTTATGAACTATTTCTACATGATTTTTGATCATTGATTTAAAGAAGAAGATTGACATGATGATTATTAGGATGGATCTTAATCGATAAGTGATAAAATGAATTAATAAGCGAAAGAAATGAATCATAGTGATAGCTGTTGGATGATTAGGCAAAACCTAAAGTTTACCATTAGTTCGAGACTCAAATAGCGTAAGAGCAGGTGTGAGAGGTAGATAGATAGGCGAGTGGTTTTGTATACGATCAGCATTTGATAGTTTAAGTGGAGAAGACGAATTATGTCTAGTTTGATCTAATCCAAGGATCATTGGTTTCAAAAATTCCAAAGGTAAATTTTTACCAAAACTATAACGATTGTCATGACAAGGTAAATTGAAACCGGGTCCAATTGAAATTATTCTGGATGCTAAACCCAAGGTCCCAAAGTAATCTCTTTGTGGAGATGGAAATGATTTTGCGAGTTTGTAAGTATGATTTAGATATTTTGATGATAAGCATTGGGTTGATAGTTGAGCTGGATCTTGTGGTAGTAATTTAGATATCCAACCCGCCTTATGAACTATTTCTACATGATTTTTGATCATTGATTTAAAGAAGAAGATTGACATGATGATTATTAGGATGGATCTTAATCGATAAGTGATAAAATGAATTTTTGATATTGAGAATTCATTTTTGAGATATGATGATAAATTTGTTACTAGTTCTTGATTATTACCATTAGTTCGAGACTCAAATGAATTTACACCGATCAAAGTAAGTAATCCAGCCAAAAGTACTGAATAATCGATTGGTATATGAAGTTTTGTTGCTGTTTTGGATGATGATGATGATGCCAAATTTAACAAGATGACCAATGATTTTGATAAGAAGTGTAAATTTCTTTCAGGTGAGGTTGAAGTTGATTCCAAATGAAATGGTCTTGGAGATTGATTGATTTGGGATGGTGATTGAGATGATTGACAATCAAGAGTTGAAGTTAAATGTAGTTCATCTTGTTCTTGTTGTTTGATTGCATTTTTGAATGATAAATCGAATTGAACATCAAAATAATCGAAACATTGAAAAACTAATGAACAGAGTGGTAATCCCTAGAAAATCAAAAACAATGTTCTAAATGGTAATGGAAAGGTTAATGCAGATGAATCGGATTGATGATATTCAATAGATTCTGTTGATGATGATAAGATATTTGACTTTGGTGAGTTGATTTGATGATTTGATTTTAAATTCTTTGTATGTTGATTTTGATTTAGTTCATCCGTGGCAGTATTATTAGATTCAATCAAATAATGTTCTAATTGAATTGATATTTCATTCTGATAAGTTTTACTATTATCGGATTTCGGAGTCTCAATTGATGAATGTTGTGCCAATGATGGATGTGGTGGTGCTTGATTATGATGATTTTCAAGAGTGTCAGATGATCGAGTAATTATCGAAGATGAGGATTGAGTGGGAGGTGGAAATACTCGGCATTCGATTAGCTTAACAACCATAAGGTTTCCTGAAAAGAATCCTCGAAATAACGTTCGTTTGTCAAGAGTTACACTGAATATATGAGGTTGAGTCGGATGGATTACCGGCATAACCCCCTTTTTGATGAGAGCACCTGCAGCGATGATATTCTTGTTTAATAAGGGTACATATAGAGAGTTTTCAAAGATTATAGTATTTCCGTTGGCATCCAATAAATAAGCGGTTCCAATTTTCTCAATCTTAAGCGTATTGCTTCCGCCGGCCAGCTTTAGTTGTTTGGATGGGTCAGGAATCGGAGTTAATGAAGTTTTGTCGAAGTGTTCAAGATTATTGAACATATGATGTGATGATCCAGTATCAGCTAGAGCAAATGAATTGCTGGGTAATTTTGCTTGAACGGCTTTATTGCTGCAAAAGTACTCGGTATGAAATAATGATGGGTGATTGTTATCAGGCGAAATATTTATTGAATTCATTGCTTGTGTAAGTTTGTCAAAGTTCTGATGATCAGTTGAGTTTTGTTTGATGTTAGCTGTGTTGTGACAATGTTGAAATGATTTTCTGGATTGTAAGTGACCAGGAAGATGACCTCGCCATCTGCCTTTCGCAATAAGAGCTTGTTGCCATTTAGCTTTCTTTTCTTGATTATTAGGATTCTTGAAGCAATCTTCTCTACCGTACTTGCACATACATTGACCAGCAGTACATTTAGGTTGCGGGTATTGATTACCACAATTTTGACTACTACCGCAATTAACAAAATGAGCTGTAGAATGAAACAACCGACTCTTATAAAGATTGGCGAACTGGGGTAAGTTTTGGATTTCCTTCGCTTTCATCAGTATGTATTTTTCAACGCCATCATAGGTCAAGGGTTTTACCATATCAAAAACACTGGAAAGTATTAGTTGATTTTCATGATGAAGTGACCTGATAAGCCTTCTAGCTAGTTGACCGTCATTTAAATCTCCACCAGCTAGCACTAATTCATCTTTCAGTTCTCTGAAGTTTGCTAAATGGGTTTCTAGGGTTGTTTGACTATCTTGTCGAGATGCATCAAGTTGATTATCAAGTTGGAATTGGGCGGCCTCGGAGATTGGAGCCTTGTTATCTCTAACAATTTTCCATAGTTTTGATGGTTCATACTCAAGATCAACTTCTCCATTAACCTGGATTTGAAGTTTAGATTCTACAAATGCAGATGTTGATGGGTCCATGCGACTGAGGAGAAAATTGATGAGACATTCTTTATTTGCGAGATTTTCTTCTTTGGTAACATTTTCAGGTTTGTCGGATGATATGAGATACTTGTTGAGGCATAGAGGTCTGAGCGATCGTTTGATTCCGATTGCCCAGCGAGTGTAGTTGTTCTGTCCTAGGATAACAGTAGCTGGTATTTTATTTAAGCTAATGTTCAAGGCAATGGCGAAGTCTTTTTGTGATGGTGGTAAATTAGATTGTTGAGCGGGTTGAGCCATAGTAGTAGTTGCTTGTGATGTTAATACCGTTTGAGCAGATGAAGATGAACTAGCATAAAGTTCAGATGATTGATTGTTTGCGTTGTTGTCCAAATTAAGTGAAGTGTTGGTAGGAGATGATGAATCAGATGGCAATGACATAAATTGAAGATGTGAATCGAGTTACTCCCGCTACCATGAGAGAATCTGATGAAACTCGAGACACCTTGGTAGAAGCCAGCAATCAGGCTACAATACGTCTAATGGTTCTGAGCACCGTGACAAAAGGTAACACACCTTGGTAGAAGCCAGCAATCAGGCTACAATACGTCTAATGGTTCTGAGCACCGTGACAAAAGGTAACACACCTATAAAGGTGATAACAAATAGTGCGTATGATAATACGCCAATCTTCCTCAGTGAACTGGTAGTATTTATTACATCAATGACAACAAAAACTAACCTTGGTAGAAGCCAGCAATCAGGCTACAATACGTCTAATGGTTCTGAGCACCGTGACAAAAGGTAACACACCTATAAAGGTGATAACAAATAGTGCGTATGATAATCTAAACAACATGATAGAGTGAGTTATCTGCACTACATTTAACAAAGATGTGATGTAATAAAATGGGAAAGAGCTTACACGCCAATCTTCCTCAGTGAACTGGTGAGGAAGAGAGGCGTGTGCGGAGTGTGTGATCTAATCTAGATGTGATATAGTGATGAGATTTAGTTAGGTTAGAAATCTTGATGAATTAGGTCTGAGTTTGAAGAATTAAGTTTTGTATTCAATTATAATTGAGTTTGATTTAATGTAGTTTGAGTTGAAGATAAGATAATTTGATATGATGTAGTTTGAGTTGGAAATAACATAGTTTGATGTGTTTGAAACTATACTTCGTATTCCAAAAGAAGGGCCGCTTGCTCGCGAACCTAATGGATATACCAACTATCAGACTTACAGCGTAGTTAGTACCACCACACCAAGTAAGTAACTTTCACCCGTCGTCGCATTCTCATATAATAAGCTCCAGCATCCCATTTTATAACGAGTGATCAATGACAATCAAAACCTTTTATTCTTGTACAGTGCCACCCAAAGGTCAATCAAACGGGTTCAAGCAGCGCAATCGCATTGTTGGCAACGCTTGGACATCGTACAGCGAGGAGGAGAAGGATATCTTTTATCCTAGGTTATTTGAAAACCTCATACAGGCTCTTGTCAAAGACGGTGACCCTATTATCACACCAGCACTTACAGCATCTGACCAGACCGAACCGACCGAAGCAACTACAGATGCACTTACTGAAGCCGAAAAGAATCAATATTTGCCTATATTCAACAGGCTGGTCAACAAAAAGTCCGTGGCGCGCGACTTCAAGCACGGCCGTCTCTGCAGGCACAGCAGAAAGGGCCATCAGTTGGAAAAAGTTGGAATTGATGAGATTAAGAAATTGGTTGAACAAGTAAGTATTTTCTCTTCTTCCATGATTGAATTGAATGATAATCTCCATTTTCAAAAACTCCTCCTCAACAGCTTCATATCATCAACAGTAAATTCCATTTTCATTTTCACCTCCTAGTTGCTGCTTGGAATCCAAATACATCTCAGACTAGTGCCCTATATCAAGAGGAGTTCACATCATGCGAACGTTGGGCTGTACATGCGCGCAAGGAGCTACACCTTCTTGAACGATTTGCTGTCGAGTGTACACAAGCACCTCCAAAGAGTAAAAAAAATGCAAAATAGGCCGAGTACTCAAAACATCAAGCTTCTTTGAGAAAAGAGCTCAACACATCCCTGAATGATTTGATACGTGAGTTTATGCCCTCTACCATAGACCAAAAGTGTCCTGTCTGATACACCCCATGGTTCATATGCTTCCTCCTCAGACGCCCATCTTCCAGGAGGCCACCAAATCAAGTCGGATGCCCATCCACAAGGCCCAGATCCTCACTTGATCTTACAAGGAAGAAAGTTTTGAGGGGACATAGAACTCGCAGTGCAGCGTTTACCTGATTCACAAGTAACTGACGCAATGCTATCGAAGGGTTCACGTGCAGGACAACTACCCCACCATCAAGTCAAGATATGGATAGACGATATCAAAGCTAAAAGGTACTTGATAGTCAAAGCTGCAGATCTAGTTACTCCTCGATCAGATTTGGACCAAAGCCTCAGCGATGTTTAATTGCTCTGTTTGATTTAACGGTATTAACGTTTTATATTTAATCACCCCATCTCATTATATCGTCATGTTCTTTAACTATTAACTTGTAATTCCAATCTACACTTTGTTTTGTTTCCAACCTTTAAAAGTGTTGTTTCCTGTTGTTTCCTGTTGTTTCCCTGTCTCAAACTTTCATTTCGTGTCTCCATAGTATTATGTGGCTTGCTTTCAATACAAACCGAAGTCAGTCGGTCAAAATTTCAACTAGAACAATCTCACCTTGTCACGATTGACATATCACGAGTACCACTCACTTCCTGACATTCAGTTCAATCAAGAAAGTGAAGCACCTGAGCTGAAGCTTCACGATGTTGAACCTCTATATCACAAAAATGACATACATAGAGAGCTAGATGTACATATGAATGGTTCAATTTAGACCGAATGTTTTCCCAACTCAAATGGTTAAAACCTGTTCACACTTCAAACAAAGTTGTCTCCAACCAATTATATTGAGTTGCTTTAGCTTACTATCCTTTTAGTTTCACTCTGGTCGAAACGTCAATCTTTAATTCTGCAAAAGTGAGTCTTCTTTAGTTCCAAGCTTCGAAGCCAAATTCAAATCTGATTCTCCTTTCATCCGCAACCGAGGTCTCAAATGAGTGTGACGTTCACTGAATTTACCCTCTTTATCAATTCATTTGCGGAAGAGCAAATGATCATGTTACGTTATTGATTCATTGGTTTTGGAATGTATTGTATCCTATTTGATTGAATCGATAGTATCAAATATCAGCATTGTTATACAGCTGTGAGCTGTATCGGTTGATGATTCAGAGCTGTGTGACTACATACAACCCACCCGTCAATAACTTTGGACGTCAATAACTTTGGACGTCAACAACATCGACATTAACCATCAACAACATCATTCATCTACTTACCCCTTCCGAACAAACACCAAACCACAAACACCAAACCTTTTGACTTGATTCTCTGACGGCTCTACTCCCCTTCCTCACTATTTTCGAAATCAAGGTGTGACTGGTCTCCTTCTTGTGGTCTGAATTCATTTGGCTTTCGCTGATTATGTAGGTTTTAACTTCCTGTTAGAATTGATTATGTCGCCCAATGACAAACCTTCCGATGATGAACTTCTCAGGGGCTCTATCGAAGTCAAAAAGATAGACCCGTCCAGGTTTCAAGACGCCATTCCCGAATTGAAACTTCATGGCTCCAATTTCCATTCGTGGCTTCACGACCTTTCCAACGCAATTTTGTTGATGCTGAATATCGATGAATACTTGCTAAGGCCAAAACCTGTTATTGATAACATTTGGACAGTATCCATTGATGCAAAGTGCCTTGAGTTAATTCAAATCTTGCTCACAAAGGAGTTTCAAGTGATTGTATCCGACTGCGAGTTCGCCCACAATGCTGTTCACGAACTCCGAATTTACCTTCACACACAAGCATTGGCCAGAGAATCCATCGTTGGTTTACATGACCCGAGCAGCACTGGATTTGGAAGCAGCACTGAACTTGGACGTATGTCAAAAGTGCTACACAGAGTCCAAATCTTGAAACATACCCTCCGAATCGCTGATTCTATTACTCACACTCATAGGTCAGTATGCTTCTATTCAATCGGATACTGAGGAAATCACTGATAGACCGAAGCTTCATCTTAGTCCTTCGAGCACCATTATCGGTTTAACCAATAGACATGCCCTACGGGCCACTTTAGAAGCCATGTGAGTCTTTACATACATCTGATACTAGATATGACACTGGCGACCACGCTACTCACCCAAAACCATCGTGTTCATCAGTACTTCAAATAGGACTTTACCTCATTCCCATCTTTACCTCTTTCCATTCCAGCGGCAAAATCAATAAGCCACAGAATGAGTTTCCATACCACTTACATCAATCGAATGCACAGGCATCAATGACCCAGTTGTGATTTCTTAACACTACTATTAAGCTCTCTTATGTTGTTCTGTTTGTCTGTTGCTTGTTTTTCATACATCTACTTGTTTTGACACTTCTCAACCCGTCATCCTGGAGTTTTATCTCAGTTGTAATGGTTTTCATATTGAGGTTAAAATCTTCGAATGGGTAATGTAGATTCAGTCAGTTTTGTTTGCCAAAGAAAATCGATTAACATGAAAAATATCATGGTTGGATGTAGATTGGGCTTGAGTGCAGCATACAGATACACAAACTTGAGAAAAACTTGCTATAGGTGCCTTGTGACACGGAAGGTGAAGTTGAAGACAATTTTCATATGGGCTACACTTTTGAGATGGTACAACTAGCTGTTAATGTGTCACTGGAACAAGGGATTCACTTTCTGTTTGTTTCAAATGTATTTCATCTGCTCTCATGCTTTGAAAATGCTAATTAGACAATACTGCTCAGATTGATAGGAAAGGACAAATGTTGAGTATGTGTATTGAAGTTGGAATTAAAGGATCAAGATGGGTAAATGTGATAAGATACCAATAATGAAAGTTGTCCGGCGTATAAGAGAGTAAATTTGGCAAAGAAGCAGTACCCCGATTTGCCCCATCTTGAATGTGTTTGTGTCGTGGCGGTACCTGATCTGGAGAAAATAGTAGCTTCTTGAATATCAAAAGTGATTTTAAAGGGTGAAGATGAGAGTTTTTGAGAAAAGTTCATCAATGAAAAGTGTTCAACATTTAAGAAAGCACAGATCCTAGATGAGCAACACACAACTTTGCCACATCTTCAATGTGTTTTTGTGGCTTTTGTAACTGGTTGGGAGAAAATAGTACCATTTTCAAAATCAAATGTGATTTTAAACATTGAAGATGAGGTATTTTGAGAAAAGTTCATTAATGAAAAGTGTCCAGCGTGCATAAAAGCACATTTATCAAAGGATCAAAACACAATTTCACCACATCTTCAATGTGTTTGTGAAGGGTTTATACTTGAGTGGATCCAAAAAGGTGTTTTTTTGGTATGGAAGTAGAGTTTGCAAGGTGAAGATGAGGGATTTTAAGAAAAGTTCATTAATAAAAAGTGTTCAGCGTGCAGGAATTCACATTTAACAAAGGATCAAAACACATTTTGACCACATCTTCAATGTGTTTGTGTGGTATTTGTACTTGAGCAGGAGATAAATTTACCATATGTGATGTTGAAATTGCAATTGAAAGGTGAAGATGAGGGATTTTAAGAAAAGTTCAATAATGAAAAGTGTTCAGCGTGCATTAAAGCACATTTACCAAAGGATCAAAACACATTTTGACCACATCTTCAATGGGTTTGTGCAGTGTTTGTACTTGAGTGGATCAAATCAAGAGTTTTTTTGATATGGAAGTGGAAATTGCAGGGTGAAGATGAGAGTTTTTGGGGAAAACTCATTAATGAAAGATGTCCGGCGTGCATGAAAGTACATTTACCAAAGAAGCAAAACACAATTTAACCACACCTTCAATGTGTTTATGTGGAATCTGTGTTCAATTTTGTATCAAAATCCTTGGGAAAGGTTTTTTCATGAATTCCAAACAAGTCTTCTTGCCTATACTCTTAGTAATTAGACCTCAAAGTTGCCTTAAACACAATGAATATGTGGCAAATTGTGTTTTGCTTCTTTGTTAAATGTGAATTCCTGCACGGTGAACACTTTTCATTAATGACCTTTTCTCAAAATACCTCATCTTCACCTTGCAAATTCTACTTCCATATCCAAAAACCACCTTTTTGGATCCACTCAAGTACAAACACTGCACAAACACATTGAAGATGTGGTCAAAATGTGTTTTGATCCTTTGTTAAATGTGAATTCCTGCACGCTGAACACTTTTTATTAATGAACTTTTCTTAAAATCCCTCATCTTCACCTTGCAAACTCTACTTCCATACCAAAAAAAACACCTTTTTGGATCCACTCAAGTACAAACCCTTCACAAACACATTGAAGATGTGGTCAAAATGTGTTTTAATCCTTTGGTAAATGTGCTTTAATGCACGCTGGACACTTTTCATTGATGTACTTTCCTCAAAAAACCTCATCTTCAATGTTTAAAATCACTTTTGCTTTGCAATGTTGTGTGTGAGACATTTTTCCAACGTCATTAATTATTAGCAAACCTGAAAACTACAAACAATTTGTCCCCAAAGTGAACAAACCTGATGACTATGACCATCTAGCTAGGGCTTCAAAACTAGCACCAACTTGCAACTTTTTACATTCCTTAGGCCCCGTTTGGGAGCGGTTATTTTACCGCGGTATTTTCGTAATCGCATCAATACCACAGTGGTATGATCTTACCACGTTTGGTACCTTATTTTGCTGCAGTATTGTACCACAGTATTTAGACAATAATCTGACAATACTGTGTAATATAACCATTTGCGTAATAGGCTAGTTTTCCTCTTTGGGTAGCTCGATAGCCCAAAGAGTTAGTGGCTTAGTCTTCAACGCGATTTTAGTCAAGGTATTAAGTCCACAATCAAAAAAGTTGTTCACTTTCGCCCTATTGATCATTTTGTTGTGGCAATGGCTCCAACAAACTTCAATAAACCCTTGAAGAAGATTCGCACCAATCCTAAACCGGTTACTGATCGACAGCTTGCTTTCTTGGCTCAAAAGAAGAGAGACCAGCATCAGACCATCAAATCACAATCTCACTTCATCCGACGCAAGAACGGAGTTAAAACAGGTGAAGGCTCAAACGACGCACCATCACAAGATGCCACCTGGCCAGATGATGGGATGACCAATCCCGGATTTGATGACCTTGAAGATCAATATCGCCAGGGTTATGACCCAGCCCAGGCCACCAACCTAGACGATTACACAGACGAAGATGGTTGGGAAGATGTGGACGAAATGGAGTACGACTCGGAAGACGATGAAATCATTTCCGGCCTTCGGCGCGCGCACTATGATGCCCAGAGACTCAAACACAAAGTTGAATGGGCACATCAGTGTGCCCTTATGGTCTCTCTGTTTCTTCGATGTCGTCTATTGACATCCAATTGGGGCGATTTGAAAAGATGGAATGAGGATTTGAGAACAGTATGTTCATGTTCTACACAACGACAACGTACCGTCTGGATTGATCTGGTGGATCTTCTGAGTGAGTTATCTCCGAGCCATTTGTACTACTAAGAAGCTCAAGAAAATAGCTTTGTTTCTAGCGCGACAAAAGCTACAAGTGACGTTCTGTCTGTGTCAAAATCACAATGTTCGTCTTGTTGAGATGGGATACATTGGCGCAACACCCGTCCATCCCAAAACGGCATTTTCGATTTGCCTTCTCAGATTCTTCCATGTAGTTTGGAAGTACTGTGCATTACGTGTTCAGGGATTTGTTCGAGCTCTTGATGTGCTGCTTGACGCATTCAACCCGATGATACACACCAAGGGACACGTGAGTCATAGTTTTTATGATCCATATTGTTATGCATATTCTTGACATCTTTTGATCCAGCCGCGAGATTGGCGAGAGCCATTCTCTTGTGCTCTTGATGCATATAGGTCCATCATTCGTGATATTCGCAAGCGGGAATTTAAATTACTCAAGTACGAAGAAATTGATCAACTGGCTGCAAATTGCCCTAGGTGTTTTGGCCCACCGGCAGGCGCCCGAACGGCCCCAGAAGAGCCAGACTACATAGTCTGCATGGACGGTAACTTCCAGCATCGCAGGCATATAGCTGCAAGTGTACCGATTCCGGGCTACTTTCCTGAAGCTCCTGAGCTCTTCATGTCTAGGTCACAACAATTCGAAATCGATCCAAATGTGCAACCAGACAAAGATGAGGAAGTTGTAGGTCTTATTTCATGTTTTGTATGAATGAAAGCTACTGAAATCATATAACATACTATTTCAATAGCATCCTTGTAGCGAGCAGCATACCGCCGCAAATGATGTTCGGGGTAAGTCTACCTGGAAGGGCTGTGATGACACCGGCCTTTTTGGAATGGTGTGTCGCCATGATCACATCCTGCGATTTATTAACATTGTACAGAGTGGGGAAAAGTGAGTTTTGGGGAGTTATGATGTGCTATAGATCAATACGCTAACGGGACAATGCCACTTTTATAGATCTGTATTTGCGTTAACTCTGATTGATTGGATTCTAAAGACTGTAGATAATCCTGAGGGTCATGAGGGTAGGAATAAAGTAGCATTCCTATACGACATTGGTTGCAATATCGAGAAGGGTATAGTGAACGTGTGTCCCTAGACATAAATAGATCTTGTTGAAAGTATTGAACTTCCTGCTATAATTCGAAACGCTTTAAACAGCGAAATCAGTTTGCAGTTGAACGCGAGCTGGGACGTCTGAAGTTTGGAACAAGCGTATTCCACGCTTACGTCCACGAGTGGGGTTGTCAGTTGGATTATAATCCTAGGCTTAATGTTGGATTTGGATTTTCCGACGGAGAGGGGATGGAACGTGTATGGGGAGTAGACCTCTCTCCCCTCGTGTCGCCAAACAGGTACGCCACAAGCCAACACCGGTTGGCAAACATCAGCTTCCGTTCCATCCATTGTAATGAAATGTTAAGAAAGAACGCTGGTAAGTCACATCAAGGAGATCAATACAGTTATACGTATAAGACACATTCAAACATCATTGATGCATGATAAGTACAACATTTCTATGACAGTTCAATCAATCAAAAGGCGAGCCAAGGAAATTAAAAAGAGGTTGGTTGAAGCTGAAGCAGGGCTTGAAAAATTGAGGAAGCAACACCCAACACATACTGTTGTCTATCTGGAGACACAGTGGAATAGACAGAAGGAACTACAAAAAAAGGCCATACAGGAGAGTGCAGACGAGAAGCGCGAACAACTTACAGTGCTTATGAAACTGGAAGAGGAGCTTGTTGAGGCACGGTACGCAAAGTTACTTTCTTTGTTAGAGAGTCTCCCGTCCGTCTATGTTTCTGATGAAAGCATTGACAGTGACAAGCTCGCAGAGATCGAAGCAAAAAGTCGAAGAAGCCGAACAAATGAGGAGCGCAATGAGCTACTCAGATTACCTCGTTCAGTAGTGCTTCTGGAGCAAAAAGCCCTGAGTATGGCTAAGGAGATTGGTTCCGAACACTTTCATCAATCCACAGGTAAGTTCTCATTGTGTGTGTTCAAATAAGTTAAGGTGTTCATTATGGTAAGGGCAGATGGCGAAAGAAAGTCTCTACTTACAATAGCGCTGGCCAAGGGCCAACTTTATGAGGCCAAGGTTGGGGTAGTTGAGTACCAGAGACGTGCTCGGCTTCAGACAGGTATTTTTTGAGGTTCAAAAGGTCATGATTGTGATGTTGATATCGTGTGTTTGTAGGAACCACAAAACAAAGTTGGATCAATAAAAATCGAAGGAAAAAAAAGGTATTACTACAGACGAAGTTAAAGACTTATCGGCGACATGTGTGCAAATACAACGAGAGACACACAAGAAGGGAAGCAATTCATGTTCCCACCTTTCAGGAAATTGAAGCAATGCGAGTGACAGATGAGTTTTGGGATTTGGGTAGCTTGAGTCATCCTGAAGAAGATTGGGCTTCGAACAAATATACAAAGGAGGGCATTCGATATTATCTATTGGAGCGAGCGGGAGATGAAGAGCTAAAGCGCATCTCGAGAGAGACTCGTCAACTTGTTCTGTGGGCACTCAATCATCAACAGAAGCTTGATGAAATTCAGAGGGAAATTTTAAACACAGAGGGCAAGTGAAAAGTCCTTCTGTGTGGATACGGTTTCTGATGTTTGATTCATTTGTTGTTCCAGATGAAATCGAAGCTTTCAACCTGCAGGTATTATACGCATTCCTGGTCGCAAGTGCTAGTTACCTATGGATGATTTGGGATTTAAACTTGGAGGAAGTACTAAACTTCACGGCACGTTACTTTGATGGTCCAAATACCTTTGACACAGATGTTCTCAGTCGGTGGAAATCTATGAAGGCCAAGGCTATGGCTCATTGGGGTGAGATGGTGAACATGCCAACTCTGATTGCAGAGGAATCGAATCAGGACTTTTGATTTCAAGATACTAGTGTCTGTTGACCAAGATTCGAGCAGTACATGTTGTATTCATCAAGTGTTACATTGATCAATTTCATATCTTTACACCTTTTTAGAACGTAGAGACCTGCGAGCCGTGATTAACTCCTGTTGCCCTTCTCCTGCACGTACTCGCTTTCGAGGTACAGACTTTGTCTTGGCAGTAGGTTTTGGTTTACTATTGGCTTTAGGCCCATCAAACGTGTTGGTGGGTTGATCATCAATTGTGTTGATGGGTTGCTCGTCAATTGTGTTGGTGGTTTGCCCATCGATTGTGTTGGTGGTGAGTTGAGAGACGGCATGAGTTTCATTCGAGGATTGATCGATTACCTAAAACAGAGTTGAGTCAGCGAGTCTTGGAGGTAGGAAGATATGAAGATGTGTAAGTGAGCACGTACAAGTGTGGCATGATCGACCTGCTTGTTTGTGCTGGTTTCCGGATGTGGCTGAGTAGTCCAAATGAGGAAGGAAGTTGGATCAGCTTGATTGATCTGAGATCAGACAGGGGATAACGTACTGTATCTTCTGAAGGTTCCGATTGATGACCATCACTAGAGGAGGAATTGAGGTGCAAATCAGTGTGATCGTGCTCATGACTCGTTGGTGGCTGGTAAGTGGGGAGGCTTGTGACCTAATGAGTACACATGTCAAATTGATATGAGAAAATCATGGATTGATCAGGGTGAGTAGTGTGGTAGGCTTACGGTGGGATCATTGTGAACGTTGAGAAATAAATTATTGATTTGATTGATAATTTTTTTTGTTGATCAACAGATAGTGCTAGTAGCCTTGGACGGAACATGCTAACAAACAAGTCGACCATTGGTTCGGAGGTATGTGGAATATGTGGGTTTGATGTACTGGTGACACGGGTGGGCGAATTAAGATGGAGTGTAGGTTGAGTATCAGCTTGACCGAGGGTTCCCAAAACTAAAGTGGCATCATCATGGTCTTTGTGCGAGCTAGTAGAAGGTTGTGGGATTGGTATAGTGGCGTTGACGGGTGGGTTGAACGCTTGCGCTGGGGTATATTGAAGTTGAATATCAGGATTGGGTGGGTGATTATGAGTAGTGTTGACGTGAGTAAGTGTCCATGACTGCTTGACGGAGTTGTATCGTGCCTTCAGTAAGAAAGGGCAATCAATCTTCAAAGATTTCAATTCTTTTGTTGAATCCTTGACTGCTTCAGGTAACCCACTGCGGTGGCACCTATACCTGCAATTCGGCTTCTTCTTGACTGAAGACCGACCAATTGAAATGAGGTACCCATGCTGAGGGCTGAACTCTTTAACATACTTGTTCATAAGTTCTAGAGTTGGTCCGGGTAGCGTAATGGGAGGTGGAGCTGGGATGGTGTTGTGGATTTCGAATGGTGTCATATTGATATGTTTTGAGTCAATCACAATAGCTGAGGTGAAAAGAAATTGAAGGTTGAAGAAGGAAAGTTTGATGGGATGTGGGATAAGACGGTGAAAGGGTGGTGGAAAAGGGGTGAAAGGGTGGTGAAAGAGTGGTGAGACGGCGGTGAGAGGGGACAACGAGAGTTGGTGAGAGGGTGGTGAAAAGGGTGTGAGAGGGTGGTGAAAAGGGGGTGAGAGGGTGGTGGAAAGGTGGTGAGAGGGTGGTGAGAGGGTGGTGGAAAGGTGGTGAGAGGGTGGTGAAAAGGGGGTGAGAAGGGTGGGACTTGTGCCAGGGGGGTGGTCTCCTGTTGGTGGGCAGAAAGGGAACTTAGCCAAATTTCGAGGTCACCAGAGATGTATCTATGTATCTAGATAAATCTAGAAGGGATTTGCGGACCCGCTAGGTCGGGACCGATTCTTTTTACGTCGGATAGGTTAGGTTAAATTGAAGGCGCACAGGTGTGAAATTAGTTTAGAAATCTTTTTTTAATTCTTTTTTTACTTACTGATGATGATGGTTTTTGTTTTGCTTGATTTGATCTAATTGATTTTTATTTTCTTTTTTTTAAATTAAAAGGTTGAGTTATGAAAATGAACAGTAATAGGTTTAAATTTTGAAGTGATCAGTTTTATAATTGATTTGTTTAAGAAAATTGATTTTAAATAGATTATAGATAATGATGATGATGATGATGGTCAATAGAAGAATAAGTTAATTGGTTGATAGATTCTGGTTTTGTGTGCATGATCATGGGCTAGAGGTGTGTAAAGAGGAAAGAGATGGAATATATAGTATGTAAGATGATCAGATGAAAGATCTTGAAAGAATATTTGATGATGAGGAATGAAGATTTGGAATGAACAAATCAGGATATGTATGTATGTAAAAGTGGGAAAAGGATCAAGAAAGTTGGAAAGGTTTTATTGTTAGTTTATATATACTTGGTAATCAAGCACATCTTTTTAGTTTACATCAATATGGTAAAGAGAAGTTTATCAGATTTTTGTTTGGAGTTTGAAGTCTTGGTAAGTTGCTTCGTAAGTCACAGTAGAGACATAGAGCGGAAACACGGTTATCACGGGATGGCTTATGTCTTTGAAGTGTCCTCGTGACTTTTGATCTAGAAGCGCGCTACCTTTTAGTTGCAAATCATATTTTTTGTACATTAGGAAGCCAAAGTTAGATTCAGAAATTGTGGTTTTCAAGTGAATGATGTCTGATCAAGTGATGACTATAGGGAAATGCAAACTTAACAAGCCCAGCATCCTTCACTTGATCAAGAGCGCTGTCCTGCGATACACATCTTTTGGGTATTTCAATTTGTTTTCACCAGTTGTTCAATGATGCAGTGCCAGAACTCCCTTATTGGCCTTACTAACTGGATATGATTTTTCGCTTCCGTGTTCATTTATGCGCAGAGGATGAGAGTGGCCATGATGAAATGTGGATTGACACAGTCAGGTCATTTCGAACACTCGGCCTCAGGATGACGGTAAAGAGGTTGATCACCTGAGAAGGGGAGTGTCTCTTTTGGTACTACTTTCCATTACCTTTCAAGAGCTCTACCTCACCTTCAACTTTGATTCATCCATCCAAATAATTATCGTGTTAATTCTTCTTGATTTACTGAGCTAAAATGGCAGAGAAAATCACAGATCAACATTTATCAATAGATCGTCAACATTCAAGAGCTCCTTCTATAACTCGTAATACTTCACCATTAAACTCATCCTTCAGCTTACCAACCTTGGTGAGACAGAGTACCGTACCAGCACGTCGACCACTTAGTAGATCATCACAAAATTCAAATCAAGAAAAGATGACTAAATCACCAATGACTATAACACACAACAACATCACATTAGAAAACCAATCTGAGATCTTGAATAGTTCTAAGATTAATACGAATGGAAGAAATCATTTGGAATTACAAACTGAAATTAAAAGTGGACGACCAAAGACTGGAACAGTTAGTCAACAACGTCATTATTTACCACAAGAAGTGAATGTCCCGATTAGTCATAATTATAAGATTCCTAGTATGAATTATCCAATTAGAATCGAACCAATTGAAAGTTTTGAAAATGGAAAGAAAATTAACCATTCTAGTTCGATTTTCAAAATAAGAGATCCAAGATTGAATAGACAAAAAGAACAAGTGGTGTAAGTGAAATATATCAGTAGATGAATTCTTGATAAGTACTAGAATTTAAATTGATTCGTGTTTGCCAACAGAGCTCAAAACCCAAGAAACGAGATGATGAATGCTTTGATATCAGAGCGATCGAATGAAGTAATCAAGCCAGCTCGATCACCTGGTACAACTTCAAACAATGGGTTTTTACAATAGTTAGTCATGGTTTATGATCATGAACATCTTAGAGTTGACTAAAAACTAATTTGTTCTTACTTGGAAACTATGATCTTCAAAGCACTGAAATGCCTAATACATCATTCGGAGTTGAAAGCAGTCTACCGCACAATGAGGTCATCGAGACTTCTAATTACCCATGGGGTAACAGTTCACGTTTCGGTCAACACACTCTTCCAAATTTTCAAAACGGAACAAGCCTTAGCAATCAAAACTTAAAATGGGGTGAACCTTTAATCAACCAATCCAAGCATGTTTCCGAACCTTGTAATCCAGGGATAGGTCAGAAGACCATGAAGGAAATAGGATCCACCAATCAGATCTCAGACGAGGTGATGCTAAAGGGAACTCCAGAAGTTGATCCTACGAAAGATGAAGATTTGAATACTCTAAATGATTTGAGACAAAGAGTGAAAAGAGCAGCTCAAAAAGGTGATTTTGATACCGCTGATAAGCTCATTAGGATCCATCAATTCCTCGCACCTAGTTCACCAATCAAATCAGGAAGGCCTAGAATTGAAACGATTGATTCATCATCTAAACCATCTAGTTTAGTCTTAAATCCTATTACACCGGGTCCTACTCTTCAAAACGGTGGACTTTCATTCGCAACAGGAGTGACAGCTTCAATTGAGCTTGTTGGACTTACACCACATTTTCATGAATTATTTAAAAAATTAACTGGAAAATTACCATTAACGATCTTTAATAAAGATTGGTTAAGATTAGCTCATGAACATGATTTATCAAATCATCAATCACAAAAGAACGATAAGAATGGAAAGATAATTTATCGAATCTTTCCATACCCATCAGAATGGAGTATGTCTTTTGATGAATGGGAATCGAATTTAAATTATATGATCAGACTTGCACGTGAGATTTATAAATTTGATTTTTTTGCAAACGGATTAATTGTTCATAGAGAAACGGTCAAAGAGATTGGAAAGCAATATGGATGGATCACTGGATTTAGGTATTGTCAAAAAGTTAGACATTCGGTTTTTACATATAAAGTTGGACTTGAAGGAAAAGATACTCAAGATATAAGTGTATGGAGGAAAGATTTAGAAGAATTAGCTCGTCAGGAATCAGAACTTGCTGATGATTTAAGGTTTCATGATAATCCTTATAGAACTGGAGGTGAGAAAGAAGGATATGATTTTTTGACTGGAAAACCACGTGAGAATCAAAACATTAAAGTTTTAAAGTCAAGCACTTCAAGATCTTCTAATTGGTCTCAAACTACTCAAACTGGAAATGGTGGAAAGACTAAACGTCATAAGCTTTGTACTGCACCTGAGAATCATCCTTATAAAGGTAGATCATTTGATCCTAATTATCGAGGACCTATGAGGAAAACCGGGAATAGAGATGGTGATGAAGATAAAGACATCGGTCGTAAAGGAAGTAGGGATCCTAGTCAGGGCTAGCTTTAGATATCTTTACGCTTACGTTTCTCATCTCATTCTCTGTTTTTATTTCATTTCATAAACCTGATCTTGATGCATTCTTTTCAATTTGATAAACTATTTGATGCGATTCGATCCTGATGTTGAACTACAACATGCGGATCAGTGTGTATTTTGAATGATCACTTTAATGTTACCCCAAACGCATGGGAATGAGACAATCTTGTGCTCCATCCCATTAACCCAGACAAATTCAGACCTATAATTCTGTCTTGTTGACGAAACAACCGTCATACTTGATCGACTCGAAGATATTTCCGATGTGAGTTTTCAAGATTTTCGCGATCTGGCAAGACTCACTCAGACATCCAATTCCAAGAAGAAGGCCATATTACATCCGAAGCCAAACTTGAATCTCGTGCGTAGTACTCTAGAAGCTATGTATCAGTCTCCGTGAATTGGGCATGGACTGTCTTTGAAGATCGTTTCAAGAGCTAAGTGACCTGAGAGTATGCGGCGCAGGCTAGAGACTGTAAAGCACATTTTTCAAGCTTCGCAGTCCTGACCAAGCTTCACTTGCAGCTGATTCTCAACGTGAGCGGAGTCGGTCTGTCACTCGATACACGATTTTGAACATTATTAGGATGATTTTTATGGTTTGTTGCTGAATAGTGACGGTGATCTATACCTAGAGATTTCAAGCTTCTTCAACTTTAACCTCCTATAATTATCAATTGCTGCATACATACAATTATTGCAAGGTTCATCATGAGCGGTCTTTCTTACCACGACAACAAGATTAGATCAAGAATGAGGAAGCTGTTATTGATCTCATTGACCGTATCCACAATTCAATCAACTCAATCACTGATTATAACCTCCAACACAACCAATCCAGGGTCTCTAACTGATAGTCTTTCTCAAATAAGTAGGCAGTCAATGTCATTATGATCTCAAATTTTCTTACACACTTGGATTTCTCCGATTTCTGAATTACTCTGATCAATTTTGATTCTTCTTCTTCTTCAGATGATCTCGGGACGATCAGGAAACCGAATCTTTTCAACTATACATGTTTATCACCAGAGTTAAGTTCAGAGACTTGGAAACGCTTAAGTCTGGATGATTTTATTCGAAAATATCCAAATAGCGAACAGATTTCAGTTCAGGTTAGGATTTGATTTATTGAATTTGAAAGAATCTTACTTTAGAAGACAAATGATTTTCTTATGAATTATTCTTTTTTGATTTAGAAATTTATGGAACTTCATGGAGCAAATAACTTTCTTTGTGGTATTGGTGAACATTGTAATGCCGGTCAGGTTTGTGAATTGGTACTTGCGTAGTAAATTCTTCATTTGAAAAGCTGACAGATGACTCTATGAACCTAAAGCTTTGCTCTCCAGTTGTTTCGGTCGAAGCTTGGATGGTAGGATTTGCTATTCAACAATATAACAATTATATGAATAGTTGTTTTGATGCTATTGGATATTCGATGTCATCCACCTCATGTAAGTAATCTTCACTCATATCTCCAGGGCTCCTCATACATACTTCTTGAAGAAAATGGTAAAGGTCAGAAATGAAAGACTAATCCCCAAATCTTAAACACCTTTACAAAATAGCCGTTGTCAGCTCGATGGTTGTAGATCTGTAAGTTTTTGATAAATACACTATTTGAGGAATTGTTCATGACTGCTTGCTAACGATCTTGAATGATCCAAAACCTACAGATTTGAAGATTTTGGAATCTCAAAAATGCTCATTAATTTCAAATCACTAAAACATGACGTACTTTCAATTGCTTTACTTTCATTTTTCACTGGAATCGCATATGCAAGTGGTATGTATTGGGGTTCAGCATTCGGTGTAATTCCTTTATTGGCTTTTCTTTTTGTGGTCACATCTACTGTGGATTCATCTTCTTCAGAACTTGTAGAACAAGATTTCCCAAGAGTAAGTCTGTTTTTCTTTCTCAAAACAGAAAAAAAACATCTTTAGATCTTTGTAATCAAACCAAAAAAAAAGTTTATTAATAGTTTTGTTTTCTTATTGATGATGATGATGATTTATGAATAGTGGAGTGAACTTTCATTTCAATTAACTGAAATTCAACAAGATCTTCAAAAAGATTTAAATCAATATTTAAAAAATTCATTACAAACTGGTCTTAGTAGTCAAACCGGTATTTTAAATGTGATTAGTGGTGGAATCTTTTTGGAAGACAATCGGATACCTAGTCCTTCTGAAATCGAAAAAAGGATGAATCGACGTCTTCAAGCTAAGATGTTGAATAAGATTATGAGATCAAATGTAAGGATTTGATCCTTTTACTTTTTTGAAAGTCGATAATGAATCATCTAACAATCTTTATGTTCTCATCGTCATCAGAATATGTATATCACCCGTGCAAGTGTCAGTTGGTTTTTCATTTAAAGGAGAGTACGCGCTCAAGAGACTTAAAATTTGTTTCTAAATCTACAGGATCCTTGTCATTTTTCTGGTGTGGCTGGAGCTCGTACAGGAAACAATATCATGTCGTATTGCGATAATAACGGAATGTAAGATCCAGTGAAACCTCTTTAAAATAAAGTAATCTCTTTTATCTGAATTACCTTCTCAATTCTTTTTCCAATCAGTCTATGGGAAATTGTTCGCGCGCACGGCAAGAAGGTCATCCACGAGATTTATAATGCTGATTTGATCTCAAATCGATACGGATTCAGTATTGAGACCATTGTCAATACTTCTTGGGCTTGTCAAACAAAATACTCTGAGTTTGAGCATGAACTTTTTAACTCGTAAGTTACTAAAAAGCTTCTTATTCTGTTCACCCCTGATTCATCCTCACCAGTCCTTCTTGTAGAGCTGAAAAAGTCAATCAAGTATACTGATTTAATCAAATTGACTTCTGCTAGAACATCTCTTATCAACAATTCAACCGGATTCCAAGATCTGTCTAATTCAAGATCCATGACTCAAAACGATCCACTTAATTCTTTAGGATCACATACTTTCAATAATTTGACATCTTTAGATGAATGTCTTTTTAATCTTCCAGTATGTGATTGTGCTTCTCCAGGTAATCATCATATTCCTGTTCCTATCCTTCACTTTGATTTAAGTTATAGATTCTAATGAAAACTTATTCTTGTAGGAATTAGCTTGGCAAGAGCTTCGAAACATCATCATACAACAAAAATTTGTAGAGATATTGGAAAATTACCTATATAAGTTTAAAGACTCTTGATGAAAAAGTGAAGGAATTTTGAAAAAAGAAAAAAAAGCTACGAGTGGACTGTTGCTTTTTCAAAGAATTTAGTGATATGTATTTGGGTCTTACGTCAATCTGGGTTTTACTATTTGTCTATACCTTATTCCTTGAGTTTTTTTGATCTTTATATGATTGTGAAAATCTATTGGATATGTATTCTTTTGAATCAATTGTTTTTTTGATTATCAGGGGTGAAATGAAAAAGTCGTGTACTCCAAAAAATGATCATTGGGAATAGATTTTGAGGAAATTATTTTCGGTTCTTTTCAATAAAAGGAGCTGATCAAAAGTTCACTTTTTGACATGAACTGGCTTTTTTAAGCCTTCAGGATATAAACGTCCACTTGCACCACTGATTGAAATTTAAAAAAATATTTATGTTAAAAAAAGATATCTAAGTATTACATTTCAGTTTCTTTTTTGCAAACTTCATCATTGAATCTTTGGAAAAAAAAACTTTTCAAAACTATATAGAACAAAGAGAACCACCTGAACCTCTATGGATGTTGGAAGAACGGTTTGATCATCCATCATGATCATGAAATCTTATTTATCATTAAACACAATCTTAGTCTTGATATTATTCCAATCAATCTTTTGTTTGGTGACTGGTAAAGCTCTTCTAAGTTGTTTAAAAGTATCATCACCCAGTTCCATATAAGCTAAATTCACTGATTTTTGATACGCTGTTTCTGCTTGTGAGATCGATTTGATCACTTGACTTGCTGTTACTGAACCTGAACCTGAACCTGATGTGAGGGTAATGATGGGTGTATGACGAGTAGTCAATTGTACCTATTTGTTAATCCCAAGAAAAGTCGTCAAGAGGAATGGATGATTAGATACCATGACAGGAGTTTGTAAGAAAAGATGATGAGAGACTTACATTTCCTTGCTCGTAATAGTGTACATTGACTTGGATTTGCCCCTTAACAGTACCTGAAGTAAGATCAATTTCGTATATGCTACGCCATCGTCCCGTCCTACACATGATCAAACCCACAAAGAAAAACGATATAAGATTCAATTAGCATGTTTTCTTTTAAAACTTTCAAAAAGGTAACAAGACTTGAAGATTTCAAATATTCACCAATAATTTCCTGGGTTATATTTGTTACCCACAATATATAATTGAAATTTCTTTTCTTCATCTTCTACTTCATTTGAAACTTCTTTAGTAGACTGAACTGGCTCTTCTAACACTTTTTCTTCAGTTTCTTCAGGTTTTGAGTCTTCTTCATCTTTCACCTCTTCATCTTTCACCCCTTCATCTTTCACCTCTGCTTCTGTCGCCTCTTCATCTTTCACCTGTTCATCTTCTACTACATCTTTGGTCTCTTCCGTTCCCGGGTCCGTTTCCTTTGGATGGCTTTGATTATTTTTCCTTGAAGAAAACACACTCCAAACACCACCTTGATAATGTTCTTTAACATATTTCTCGGCTTGATTTGAAATCTCAAATCGAGTTTCTTCAATCGTATCTTTTTTCGGTGTATAAGCTTTAACATCTTTGACAGTAAGTCTCAAATGATCAAAAATAAACGTTTGTGATGAATTTGGATCCATATAAAGGTTTTCAATTCCTTCATTTAATTTGGCTGCTTCACAAATCATCGCCTAAGAAAAAGAGCATAAAAACAAAAACAAAATATCCAGTAAGTTTGAATCAAATATAGAATAAGTTTTATATGAACCAGGTTTAGATTATTTACTGGGATTTTCGCATTGGGTAATTCGACTAAAGTGAGTTGTTCAGTATTATATTGTGAAAGTGCAGGAAGTAAACCATTTTCAAGTTCTGCATCGTCTCCTACAATAGGTCTTACATCCTAATCAAATTAAACAAAACCAAAGGATTCATCAATTTGATTTGTTTCAAGGTTCGTTTGACGTCATTGAAAAGTACGAGATCAAGTTGACTTACATTGAATACATCATTCACTTCTCCAGGTGGTGATTGTAGTATAAAGTTTGAAGCCACGGAAATCTTTTCTTCTAAACTTGGTTCGTGTTCCATTGAGAAGTTTGATTTGATTTGATGATCGATGGGATGCTGAGTTTGTGGAACAAAGATGATCGATGGATGAATGATGCGTTTCGAGGATGTCACATTGGTTGACATCCGAATACTTTACATTGGACTGTTGACATGCTCACACCTGCTTACACTTCGATTGCCTCTGCTTCCTCAACTTGACTATCACTGTTTTTTCTGACCATCCATAGTTTGGCCAAAAGCCAAGTTTTTGGCCAGAAAACATTTGGATTTATGATACAACCATTCTTGTGCTCGTTGTGCGAACCACCTTGTGGTGTAGAAAAGCATCATAGATAAACACCATCCCCCAACGGTGATGCATATTTCTCCATTGGGCTCAAGTATCACGAGATAATCTAGGCCAGATCTTGAGTAAATTCAACTAATGATTAGGGTTGATGGCACCTGAGAGCAATGATTATATTTGCATATGCCTAGACAAAAGAGTTGGAGAATAAATGAAAGGAGAGGATAACAAGGAACAAAAGGCAAGTCCTGTGAAAGAACTAAGATTATTGAAGCTGTATAGGATGTAAAACCAAAAAATGATGGAAAGAAGTAACTTGAAATAGGTTTTAAGAATAACAGATAGCATGCTTGATATATTCTGCAGTCAACTCTTTGGAAAATGAGGCCAACAATATTGGAAATGCCATTGATTGAGTCAATGTGAAAGTTTGAAATGTACCACATTGGCCATTTGATCACCTTTGTATCAACTTTGAAATACTCTGCGCCTCAAAAGGTTTTAATGGAAATCCTATCACAGGGAGCCTGTGCGACTCTTGCAATCCATACTGCTTTTTTTTGATAGTCTTGCTCCATAATCCAAGAAGATAAAGAACAAGTTTCTTTGGTGTCCTATACTTGTTAAAACTGAAATGAACTTGGAACATATATTCAGGATCATCTAGTCTAGCTGATTTGAAGATTTCAGAAGATTTCATGGAGAAAAGTTGTGAAAGATTTGTAGGTTGAAAATTCAACTCTAGCCATTTAGAATATAGTCCATTGAGAAATATCCAAGCATGCATGAGCAAAATCTCAAGCTCCTCTTCAGATAATGAGCTTTCATAAAAAGCCCTGATTGCACCCACATAGGGAACAGTAACTTTGTACTGTGCAACACTGACTGCTTGAACAATCAAATCAATATTTGATGAATGTACTAGATGTAGTTTATCAGGTATATCTATACCATTGATACTTGTGTGAACATTGCCCTCATTCATCTCCTTGTAACGGCCTGTGAGATCATGGATCAGCTTTTCAAAAAAAATGTGGACAGTCTTGCACATTCCTCTACCAACATTTGTGTGAAACTGAGCTAAATTATAGATGATTCCAGAATCGTTTGGTAATGGAAGTCCTGGACTCCAAATGAAATACCAGTGAATTTTTGAAAATTGATCTCCTCCCCAGAATACCTCATTCCTGACACCACGTCTTGAATATAATCCACCCTCTGCTGAACTATCATCCATTTCATATGTTGCCGCCAATCTTTCAAGTTTTACATCTTGTGGAACCCTCAGGCTACCTTTCTCTTGGGACCACATGCGTGCAAGGTACACAATCATTGTGAATGGTATTGCATCAGCAGCAGAAACACCTTTCAGGTATTTCATCTGCCAACCAGGACTCAAGATGTCAGAATCCTGGATGTATTTTGTTGGCATCCCAAATCCAAAATCTTCTGGTTTGGCAACTTTCCAATGAGAAAAAACCTTCTTCATGTAATTCCACCCATCATCCAGAAGTAGTTGAAGATTGTCCTTTCCACTTTCATCATACTCAAAAGTTTTGAGAATACCAAGAAAAGCCATTACAATCCCATGACCGGCATTTTTAATTGCACAACCTAAAGCCTTGATTTCTGATTCCTCTTTACAATGTGGTCTTATCCCCTCATAGATCTCTTGGAACCAATCAAATATCTCATAGGATAGAGTTGGAGATCTATTCACATTCATCATGCCAATACTTTGGGCAGTCTTGAATTTACGTCTTGCCCGGCCAGGCCGTTCTAGATTCCCCGCATTGAGAGACTCAGAAAGCCCTGACAGTCTACACTTCCCAGCAGTTTTCATTCTACTGAAAGTACATGGACTATCTTCATCTAATTTACTAGAGCTTGGATCATGATCATTTTCTGAAAGTTTTGTAAAAAACTTAGGTTTTTCCATTTGACTGATTAATTTTTGATGGTCAGCTTTCAAAGTAGTCTTACTCCTTTTATTGGATATCCTTGGTAATTTAACACCTGTTTTCTCCAGTATTCCCTTCCTCTTCTTCTTCTGATTTGAATTTGGCTCATTTTCAATCCCAGTTTTTTCATGAATTTCAATGTTTGAGTCTATTTTAGTCAAGTGATTGTTTTTGAGGGAAGGGAGATTCACTTCTATGGGTAGAGTTTTATTGGGAATATCTTTGTGAGGGCATGTTTCAACAGGAGATCCTTGAAGATCCTGGTTGGATTGATCCTGTTCAATGTTCTTTTTGAGAATTGTATCAGTGTTATCCATGAGTAAATTGTCCCTGGAAATGGGACTGGTTCTGTCTTCTGGTGTTTTGTCATTGACTGATTTTACATTTATTTCTGTGTGGCCTGTTTCAGGAATATGACTTTCTGGAGACACACAATCTGGTGAAGGATAACCATACAATTCTGGACAAATGTCTTGTAGCCAGGAATTTTCCAGTAATTCATTTTGGCTATGCGTAAATGATTCTTCATGATAGTAAGCTGTGTGAGGTGTTGAAAGTTGTTGTGAGCCACCAGTAAGATTTATGGTTTGCTCTCTCAAGTGGGGTTGATGTGGATTTTCTACCCTGTGATATGGTGGATTTTTTGTCATCCATGGATCAATATCTGTGAAATATTGCATTGCATCAATCAGATGTTGAGGCTGTTGTTCATTTTCACATCTGACAGCATCTTGATGTAAAAGGAAATTTTCAGTTGAAAATTCAAATGGAATGAAGTCTCTTGAGAGAAACAGGTTTTCTTCAGATGTTCCAGAGTGTTCATAAGGTTGCCCTGAGCCCAGTTTTTCAAGATAGTCTGAATCATAAGCTTGAAGATGAAGTGGTACCTTGTCTAAGTCTAAGAGAAAATCATCATGAGTTGTATATAGATCAGTTATCTCTTGTGTTCCAGAGGTCCCACCCATGGAAGACATACTTTCAAAATGATGTGGAGTCCTTTGATTATTCACTGAGTTTAGGTTCTTGAAAGTGCTCCAGTATATCTCTTGATGATCAAACAAGTGACAGTCAAGGTGTGACAGTGTATGTCCTTGTTCTGGAATGTATATACCAGAGATCTCAGTTGTCACTTGATGTGGGTTTCCTGGGTCATTGATTCCTCCATTAACATGACTAGGATTCTGAGTGTGACCAAGATAATGAGGTTGTCTCATGTCACATAGACCTTCCTGGAAGCTTCCTCTCAGAGGGGAGGTTTTCAAGCTTTCAATGCCGGATGCTGAATACATGTCTTGATGGTAATCCTGGGCGCCTAATGACCCATGCTTGAGTTGAAATCCTGAACATCCATGAAAATTCCAGGTTTCCAGTATGGTGATTGAAAAGAGTTTGACTAGAGACAGAGAAATCATTGTATGTTTGACAATATCAGGAATAAATATGAGATTGATCAAATGGATACATCTTGATGAGGCCACCCTTTTATTCAACACACATACAAGGAGATGATACCAGACATTCACTTGAAACTGTGGATGGATGGATTGGTAATAAAATATTTGAGACCATTCATCACAATCTGTGGATGGGTCTGAAACGATGTTAGAAGTTTATTTCTGGATTTACTGTAGCTTGCAACACCACTGTGCACAATACCAGCACTGAGACAGTTAGACTTCCCACTGCTCATAGAACAGGGTAGCACAGATAGAACCACCCTTATGGCTACTGCTACTACTAGCCTAATCTATGAGTCTGACTAGGTGAAATTGAGCTCTGCTACCCAGAGACTATGTTGAACTTCATTCCACACTCTAGGTATCTTGAGGGAGGAACTGCTGTTGTGTTGTGCCCATAGAGTCTAACTTATTTTCTAGAAACCCCCACCATAAGCATGGAAGGTTTTTTGGCGGCATTCTACCACCAGGGTTGACTGTCCATGCTACACTTGCTGCATGTAGCTAGTTGGGTAGATCTAGACTCATATCCAGATGAGGCGTGCCTCTTGAGTTCCTCAAGATGTCCGCCCAAGAGTGCACTCCTTACTATTTAGTCAGGGGTGCACGGGTTGGGGAAGTGAAGGGCCCCGGCCCGGGGTTTGGTTTTCTTGAACCAAAATGGATGGTTTACGTAAACCAACCTTCCCCGGTTGGATTCCTCCATTGGGTCGGTGGGCAGGACTATTTTCTTTTCGCCGGGTGGGAGGGGTGGAGCAAAAAAGGTTCACACAGTTCAACTTGTGTGCTCAAGACTTGAGGACTTGCGGTGTGGCCTACAGCCTGAGCAGTGTGAGTGGTGAGCGGTGAAAAATTCTTGCACAAGGCGTTTTAGAATGTTCCTACATTCTTCCCGTGCAAGTTTCATGGGTCACCCTTTCACACGTGCTTGCAAGTCCCTCATGGACTAGTGAACCACCTGTGGTATGGTGGTTCTGTGCAAGAAGGATATGAAATCCAAATCTACACATTGGGCCAGATATCCCTATTGGTAATTTTCCTTCTCCTTTTTGGGACAGGAAGGCTTGACAATCATTCAGCATGTATGTTCTGGTGTTTGGATCTGAGAGCAATAAGGGTACTCAAGACAACAATGTAGCACTACATATGTAGCAAAATGTGGATTCCCAGAATGAAATTTGGAACCTGTGTATTGTAAAATATGTAGTGCTACATACTCACTTTGAGTACCCTAATTATAAGAGGATCCACAAAAGTCCTCTTGTTTTGAAGGTTCTATGCTTTGATGGTCAAAATGCAAACCAACTTCTGTAGTAGTCATTGCAAAGCTTGAGATAGTTTTTGAGAGTTCTTGAATTTTGATTGAGACTCTCCACATTTCAAGGGCCTCTAAGGGTTCTTGGTATCAACTAAAGCACCTGTATGTTGAACACCACCAACAAATTGGAATTGCCAGCATATCAAACATCCACATTGAAGTCACTGACTGACTTGACCTGCTCAAAAGCTGCTGATACATGTGAGGTTACACTGTTGGTAGAAGCCTTGCAGCCAAACTTAACTTCAAAGGCTTATTACTTAAAGAAAGCCCCCAAACCGGGCACATCCCCTGGATCCTTGAGAGGGAGGGGTGACTTATTGTAAATGTTAGCTTGATGTTAAGCCAAGGGTAGGGCAAATGTGCTTTTGAGGGGCTTAGTGAAGCTTAGCTTAATTCCAAATCATTTGTGCTGGCAGTGGGTACCTGGTACTTTGTTTTTATGTTTATCATCTTGTGTGTTCTTGGGCCTGGGCCATATTTGTTTAGCTCTTGCTCACACATCTTTTCACTTCATATTGTGCTACTTATCATCATACCATGAATCAGGAGGACTTTGTTATTTAACCTCTTTGAATGGATGTTGTGTTCTGTCTTCTTTCTATCTTGTAAACCATCACCAGAGTTGCACAGCGTCACATTGATTTGTCTAAATGGCAATAATGTATGTGATTGCAAAATCATTAATCTTTGACATTGTATCTTTCAAACCTTTTCTATGTTCTCCACTGTAAGATCCGGTGACTACTTATACAATAAGGTCCAACTTCTTCAAAATTAACTAAGTGCCTAGGTACAATTATCCAAAGACCTGGCGCCAGAAGTTAAACTCTGGTGGCTGTGGGAAGTTTCAATTTGATTCCCTGTGGGCCACCATTGTGATCTAGAGTCTCCCTTGTTTTGATCCTATCATTGTGTTCCTTAGAGATTGAACTTAAAACTGAAAGTTCTCAGCCTGTCCAAGTTTCCTTTATTACTATATAGCTGGAGGTTTGTCTGTTGTGAAATATGGCACTGAGGGTGAAAGCAGGTGCACAGATGCAATTTACACTGTCACTCCCTCATAAAGCAGCTTTCCACAAAATCAGAGAAGTTTTTACATCTGGGTAATTTATGGATTGATTTTCATCATCTTCTTCCTTTGATAAAAATGAACAGCCTCATTAGATCCAGTAAGATTAATCCAGCTCTCATGTACATACAAGCGTCAATAAGTTGTGACCTGATCAGGAGACCCTTGTATCTATCACAAGGCTCAGATGAGAGGGAGGGAGTTTGGCACAAAGGTTGCAATCCAGGGGGTGATTTGGGCTTGGTAGCCAGTTTGGATTGGAAATTGAAAGATATGATTGTGGACCATGCCAAGCAGGACTACTAAATTATTTACAAGTGTATATTATTATCACATACCCCCTGCCTCTTGATCATGCCTCCGAATTACTCTGTGAAGGAGTAGGCTTCCAGACAGCTTGTCAGCACTCGAGCTCTTTGCACTGGCAAAAGAGCCATAAGTACTTCACTTATTTGTAATCTGAGATAGCTTTGATATAAAAACATCTCATTGCTTACATTTGGTTGTATAGGTTTAGTACAAAGCAATATTAAACAGTATAATGCACACTCAGCCACCTGCGCTCAGCAGTCATCCCAAAGACTTCTCATACTTGGTAAAGAAGAAACCCAGATGGTTGCCATAACCACACAATTCTAACAAGCTCTTCCAATTTGGGACACATTGAATACCAAGTGTACTAGGCTAGTGAACATTGTTCACATGCACACCATAGAGATCTATAGAGACCTCGTGACCAATATCAACCAAGTTACTGTCAAACTTGTTGCAATTATATGATCACGTTCTATGATGCTAGAGAACAAATCAATTAAAACAAATCAATCATACTTGAGAGCTAATTGAGTAAAATCTTCTGTTGTCCTCCGCTGTCATTCAAAAGACTAGTGGAAGAATCCCTGAGATCTAGATTGAACTTATCACATATAGAGAAGACATCCCAATTGAAACGTACACACTAAGAATAATACACCAAGAAAAAGTATCTCCGATATATCCCTTGAATCGGAGCAAAAAGAATATAAATAGAGAGAACTCTCTTCAAGAGGTAAAAGGACTCACTTTATCATACTTTAACCAATTATTTCAGACCATCCTCTGTTCCGAAGTCCGGCTGGATTACTTACGCATGTATCTAAATCTCAGTCCCACTTTACCCCTTATTGCTTGAAGTTGAATTGTCGCTTTGTCCTTCCTAGTATCTTGAACTATAGTCCGTACTTTTCTATTCCAAGTATCTTATTAGTCCCATCGCAGGTCTACTTTCCGGCTAAACATAGTCCCATCGTATTCTTCCTTTCCGGCTAATAGCTTTGATTATGAAATGTTATAGATTTAAATCCAGAACCTTTCTACGTACCTAAAAGCTACGTGGATCTACTTGGTCACTACTCAGTTCTTGCAACGCAAAGTTGGCAAGATCCCTGTTAGTCTTCGGACGCAGGCTACTCTAGATCTTGTATCTCAGAGATTATAACCAGGCCTAAAGGTTGACCACCTTACATCTGTTAACTTACAGTGGGCCTCGGAATCGTGTTTCTTTGAAACACCGTGAAGAGCTTGTGGTTTACCCACATTCGTTATGATCATAATCCTCACTTTAGGATAAGATATAGTGGATATCCCGCGTAACCAGCGGAACTCCTTGTCAGGACTCTGAATCAAGTAATGACTAGACTACTTGACTCTCTAAAGTAGTAGCCACCCTGACACAGCTTCTATTCCCATATAATACTCTGGGTTTGAGGCACAAATGCTCAGAAGATGTCTGATGTTTTTCTCTGCAAAAGAGTGAGAGCGGACAATATACCCGGATATAAGTTATAACCAAGGGACGCGTGGAGTGAGGTTGAAGGTCAATTTTTTGCTATGTATCCAGTATAAATTAATTTCACTTCATATGACTGGGAAGCCTTTTGGAAAGCTTTTCCCAGGCTGTCAATGAAGTCTGTCTTCTGGAAACCTTTTTTGAGACCTCATATTCTTTCACCCAAACGTTCTTGCGATCCTTTGTGTCCTTTTCATCTACAGGCGTTGCTCCCTCCTCAATGTGTGCAAGAAAAGCAGTAAATTTTATGTCATATGCATTTCTTGGGTGCTGTTCTGTCCAACTCTCCTTGATGTTTAAGATTTTACCCGTGTAGCCAGCTGTCAGTTAGAATAGACAACAAATGTGATAATCAGAATGCAGAAGCATTGCCTCAGCGGAAATCGATTATCTCTACTTACTTTCTTCCTTCAATTCGCGGCAGGCAGTAAGTTGCTCGTTATTCTCCTCAGCCACGTTGACCGCCCCACGTGGAAAACCATGCCCAAGTTCCTCCGCCGATTTCTTTGGGAGGCTCAGTAAAATTCGTCTCCCTTCAGAGGTGTCCATGTACGCAATCACAAGAGCCTTCTGATCCATTATGTCGCCTTTCTCTCTCTTTTTACACCAAATGGGAATGGTGGTTACAGAGAAGATAATCAAGATAATCACAGCGCATCACATCTTTGGAAAAAAAGAATGGCTGGATACAAATCAAGTATGTGGTGTGTTGCGTTTGAGTAGTGATGTCAAGCTGGATTCTATCTATCTCATAAAATGTGACACAAGTACCGGTGCTTCAAGTAGTGATCTAGATTGTGTATGCCGTTGCGCGTGCATTCCCAACACGAAGCTTATGTAATCAAAGTTCATACATAGACAAATCAAGCACCTGGATCACTGGTGGCCAGAAAGCTGATCAGATGACCTGCTTTATGAGGCATAAAATGCGACACAAGGGAGGAGTTTTCCTTGGAGCCATTATAGTCTAAAAATATTTCCCACATAATTGGTAAGCATCATTATTCTATCATCTATCTCATAAAATGTGACACAAGTACTGTTGCTTCAAGCAGCAATTTAGATTGTGTATGGTTTTGCTTGATCATTCCTGACACAACTTTTATGTAATTAAACTTCATACATGATAAGGTATGTAATTGAATATGGCACAAGTCTTGATTTATGCTTGTGATGTGGCAGTGGGTTTTATGTGGCAAGATTTGCTGACATGGCATGGTAAGAGAATTGTAATACCAATACCTTGGTGTATTGAGATGAAAGGCTTTGTGAGTGCTGAAAACTTGTAGACCTAGCCATCTTGGAGCTTTCCTTGGAGTCACATCACATTTTTCACACATCTTTCATCAGGAATATGGTACCACTTTATAGTCTAAAAATAGTGCCCACATAATTGGTAAGCGTGATTATTCTATCATCTATCTCTCATTAATAACACTGTTTGAGTAAATCAGAAGTAAAAAGGACAAATGATGTCTAATTTGTAACCAGCCACACTTCAGGATTTATTGTCTTGTGCCTTTGATTTTGACTAGTCAGTGCTTTACAGCCAGTCATGGCCTACCAATCAGTCCTTCAATCAGTTGCCTAAGTTCATAATTTTCATCTTGAATTCTCATCATTACATGAATATTGATATAGGAATCATTCATGTCAATTTGACCAGTCAAGCAACAACACAGACAACAAAAGTAGAAAAAGAAAAATAATCTATGACCCCAGTGATAACTGAGACATTTACTAGAGTGCTGCCTTTACCACTGAGCTACAGAAGCTTGTGGGTGCCAATGTTGTCACTATGGTGGGTACATTTGTCTACAATACATCTCCTCCAGACTGCAAGTGATGAATCATTCAAGCACACATCCAACAGCTCAACAATCCCCCTGGCTACATGAGTGAGAGAGTATGCAGTCTCACAGGAGTTGGTAGACCTAAGTCACAGCTTCACATATAACATTACATCTCTATCTGTCAGCAAGTATGCTCTGGTAAGCTTCTGGGCTCATAAGAAACAAACTTTGGTTTACTTGATGTTTTAAGATCTTTGAGATGCAAATTCGATTACATACATGATCAATCCTTTTATTCCACAAGACTGTATGTGCAAGTAATTTGCACCATTGATTTTGTTGAGATTTTTGTTCACCCTCAAGAATGATGTAAGTACAACCTTATGTATGGTTGATGAAGCTGTTATTGAATTTGAGGTTGCATTAAATATATACAGCCAAACCCTTCCAAAGCTGTACCCCTATAAATCTTCAACATTCCTGTAGCCATGGTTCTTTGGTTCTCTCAAGTTGGATGGGGGCAAAATTGGTCAGAATCTCATACATATTTTGGCCTATTGTAGTAACCCATACCCAAACTTTGAAAGAAAAACAAATAAATGATTTTTTTCAATGTAAAGCCACCAACAGCTTACCAGTCAGAGTCAGGAGGGTATGAATCCTTCAAATGTTTTACTTCATCACTGTTTTCTTCAGTAGAGATTCAGAAAAGTTTCATAGCATATTGGATTTTTTTCTCAACAAGACCAGCTGAGAGTCCAACCCGTTTCAAGCCATGATTCATGTTGAGCCATGCTTTTCATGTCTTTAGAGGGATTTCAGCATGTACAGTAGTTAACGTCTACTCTGTGCTACACCTGACTACGGGCGGCCCCGGGGCTGGCCGCGGGCCCAATTGTCAGGCATTTCTGATTTTTATTTTTTTTGGCATGGATTTGAAAAAAAACCATGTACAAGGGTCAAGTAGTGGTTGGAAACTTTCCACACCCGCTATACGTGATGTAACTTTGTTACATTGTTTCCTCCTCTTTTTCTTGTCATTTCCTTAAAAATTCTTCTTGCTCCTTTTGTTTACTTTATTTTTTTTCTCTACTTGTTTTTGTCTTGGCTTTTGTTAGAATGACCTTGTGAATGAGTGTGAACTTTCAAAATGAGGTTCATGATTGTGTAGGAATTCTTGAAAGTGAACAATAGCCCAAATATACATCATTGGAGGTTGAGAGATTAAAAGTGAGGGCAAACCAATATGGTTTGAGAACATGGTTGGGTTATTGAAGATTAACAAAGAAAGGATGTTATACACTACCATCAGAGTATTAAAAAGCTTCCCAAGGCAACTTGTGATACATATGCAAAGCTTGCATCACACCTGGGTCAAACACTTCTCCCTACAATCCACCCTGCTGTTAAGCCCGTTGGGTCTACCACAGGACCACTGACACATAGCTGGCCCCGGTCTGTGTAAGTCCACATTGTCACAGACACTTAAGACTATAAGTACCTAGCTTAAGACCTTAAGTACTTGACTTGAGACCTTAAGTACTTGACTTAAGACCGTAAGTACTTGGCTTAAGACCGTAAGTACTTGGCTCAAGACCTTAAGTACTTGGCTTAAGACCTTATGTACCTAACCTAAGGGGCTTAAGTGCCTAGCTTATGCTTGGGCCCAAATGTTGACCATCTAGTGAAAAAAAATCTATCAATGCCTCACACCGCGGGAATTAATTAGCTTGAACCCCGATTGAACCGAATTTTGGTGTCCGGGTTCAAAATTTCCTCAAATTGTGAATTTTGTTCACAACTCGTTTGCAATACGTTTGCTGATTTCCCTTGAGTGGTACTCTGCTCGCCCCGTGTATGCACAGCTACATCATACAACAACAACGCCTTTCAACAACAGTCACCACAGATTCATCAATGTGCAGAGCATCAAGACTGAGGATGCATGACAAAGGAAAGCTGGCTCAATGGTCGGAAATGGGGTTGTTGTTGTATGTTGTAGCTGTACATACATACGCGGGGCCAACAGAGTACCGCTCGAGGGCAATTGGCAAACCTATTGCAAACAAATTGTGAACGAAATTCACAATTTGAGGAAATTTCAAACCCAGACACCGAAATTCGGTTCAATTGGGTTTTGAGCTAATTGATTCCCGCGGTGTCAGATGGTCCCAAGGAGATATAGATAGATTACACTTACTCTCCTGAATGTACTTGTCTAATTATCAACTTAAAAGGTAGTCATTGAGGTAGTCATTTTTGATCTCAAAAACAAGATTTCATTTGGCTGGTCGGAAGGTAGTACAGTCGTTTGCAAAAAGCTTGCCGCAAATTCACCGCCAAATTGCTCGAGTTTTGCGGGCAAATTTGGGCAAGCTTTTTGAAAACGACTGTACAAAGTAGACGTTAACTACTGTAGCCGTATTTCCTTTCCATGGGGGGGCATGGCTTTAGAGGGGTTTCACTTGAAACTGCAAGGAGCGAGGGAGTCCCAGTGACTCTCCAGATGAAAGCTATAAAGAAACTTTTTTTAGTAGTTTTTAGTTCAACGAGGTCTTGATTCTAGAAGACATCTTTGCTTTGGCAATAACAGGATTCGTAGCAATTTTGGACAGACCTGTTCAAGGATCTGATCTTAAACAAAAAAACATCTACAGTCAATTCCATAAAGAATGAAATGTTCAAAATTCGAAAAGACCTGATGGTCCGTGCACCGCGCAGCACCGGCCACATCTGATCAGGCCACGCTGTCAAATAAGTGCTCACGCACTCGATGATCTGCAGATGATTGTTTCTTCTAGTTGCCTTTTTTTTAGTCTTTGTTTTTTGAAAGTTTTTTTTTCTGGTCTTGTTTTTCTTCGTTGGGGGTTGGGGTTGACCCTCCCATCCATTCTGAATCACCTGCCGAGTCGCCCTTTTCCGATTGTTTGTTTCCAACCGGGTTTCCTGTGTTTCCGTCTTTCCGACCATTCCATTCGACCCCCAAAGATGGGATTTCAACAATATTCCGAGGATCTCAAGCTCCTGGCCACTCGATTGGCCATGGAGCGTGTTCCTCTGGCCGAAATCAACATTCGATTAAGATCCAACATATCCCCAGTTTCGCTATACCGATGGAAAAATTGCTTACGCAACACGAACAGCGTCATCAGAGACCCAGCAACCTACGAGACACGAGGTCGACCCTTTCTTTTGTCTGACGAGAACCTTGCCGTACTTCACGACCTTGTGAACGATTGCCCCGCGGTCTACTTGGACGAGTTGCAAATAGAGATTGCTGCTTTAACAGGGTTGACTATCTCTTGTGCAACCCTCTGTCGTGAACTTCATCAGCGTCTAGGACTATCTCTGTTAGTCACACGAGGAGTGCATCCGAATCAATCCCCGGTAGAGCGGACCGATTTTATGTTTCGGGTGGCAGGAATACCACCCGAATACCTGGTTTTTATTGGTACGTGATTGATTCACATTTCCTCGAGCGAGTCCATATTACTAACCCGCTTTCACTGGTAGATGAAAGCGGAGTTGTTGGTCGTGATGCTTCTTGAACCCACAGTTGGGCCAAGCGAGGAACTCGCACAATTCGCCAGCACCGATACACCGAACGTAGTCATTGGACCCTCCTCCCTGCCGTTAGCGAGGAGGGAATGATCGCAGGAGTTGTTCTAGAGGGGCCGGTCCGCAGGATCGATGTGGAGCTATTCTTGAAGAATGACTTGGTAAGGCATCCTTCTAATTCCCCTTCACGTTAGTTTATTCATGTTTTCTCATTTTGGGTTGGGCCACATAAACATTTCATTCTAGCTCCCGGTGATGAACCAATACCCTGGGCCAAACTCGGTGCTAGTCATGGACAATGCACGAGTTCATCATGGTGGAAGAATCTTGGACCTTTGCAACCAGGCTGGAATCCTGGTCATCTATCTCCCAGCGTATTCACCTGACATGAACCCCATCGAGAACGCTTTTCACTGTACCAAGTCTTGGTTGAAAAGAGAAGATCGATGGCTTTTCGAGGCCGACAAGGCCGAATACCTCCTCCTTTTGGCCGCCAGAGTCATGACTCGGCGGTTGATGCAACCCCTCATTGCACACGCGTGTTACACCACTCGGCACTATTGGGTTAGATACAATGCTAGGTTTGATCATTAGACACATTCCCTCTTGAATGCCTTTCAAGTAATTTGGTTGTTGTTTGCTTTGAATAGCGCTTTCGAATAGCTCAGTTTGTCCTCTTAATAGCGATTGTTGTGCTATGTTATGAAAGTTTGAATTTGTTGTGTTTTGTTCTCAGTTCCGTTATCTTTCAATGATTTTGAACGACATTCAGTTGTCTCTTGTGTGCTTACCGATTACTTGTGTTGTCCATTTGTCAAATCGATCCTTAATCACGCTCAGATGATCTCCTATACTTTGTGATGCGTCCGAGCTGCCCAAATGAAATGCTAAGATGGCTCTTGATTGGTTTATCATAATGAGTATCAACTGCAGTGGTCCCATGTTCTCTAACGTACACCTGACATTGAGTCACCTTTCCGCTGACTCAATGTGAAGACCACCACATTGAGTCAATTGGGCAAAGTGATTCGCGATTTCAATAATCGACGAGTCACTTTCCAAAGCATGTGACCTTTCGAAATGCCGTCAATTCCCATATCTCACAGTGCTCACCAAAAAAGGGGGAGAGCCAATAGCTAGCTCGCTCGCATTTGGAAGGTTCGGTTGTGATCAGAGGCATGATTATGATTTCACATTGCCACATGAGACATCTTTCAGCCAGCAAACAGAGGAATTGCACACATAACTAACACAAAACTAACACAAAACTAACAAAAAACCAGGGAAACAATCGATGGTAATCATAGTAGTATTTTATCGGGAGGCAGTATGATTTTTTTTAAACAAAAAAGGTGAAACACTAATACAAAAACATTTGATTAGCAACATACTGGTTTCTTTTTTGAGTGGAAATCGAATCACATGAGACATTTTGTTATTGGTTCAACCATAAAAATTTTTGATGTTTGTCAAACTACATATCGAGGCGTTTTTGGAGTAGGAAAGAGAAGGAAACTATTTTTTGAAATTTTTAGAAGGCATCACTTTGATGTCACAGTCATCTTCGGAATCCGGAACAACATAAGCCATGTCTCGCAGCTTGCTTTCTTCAACATCAACAAGATGATGGTAGAAACGGCGAGCACACTCCATCAACACCCAACCAGTCCCAAATGGGATTCCCCATCGCTCCATATCGCGCGCGTCGTATGAACCCGGGAATAAGAAAGGATAAAAATTTTGAATCCCATGGTCTTCAAACGCCTCGATGACAAGGTCCTCCTCATTTTCAGGCACGTCAGCAAATGCCACAAAATCGTGGATGGTCGAAAGGTACGCTAGTCTCTTTGCCTCCTGACGATCTACCTCCACATCCATATCCTGCATCTCAGCATAACCCCAGGGAGTCCCAGGCGATCGTGCCACTTTGAGTTCTTGATTCGATGTCTTTGAACGCTTAGAGGACATGATTGGGTTCGTCGTTACGAGGTCCCGCTTGATGGAATGCCACTTGAAGGCTGGATCTTTTGGTGGTGGGTTATCCTTGGTAACCCCGTCAATTCCAGCGGCCTAGATTGTTTGACATACGTCAACCAAAGTGATTACAAGGGAGAAGGGCGAAAAAACTACATACTATAGCTTTCGCCCACTTGACCATGTGTTCAAAGGACAAGGTCATGATTCGGGTAGGTTGAAGCTTATCGACTAGGCAATATCCCTCCTTGCAGGTGTTGCCAAGCGCCTTATGATGAGCAATCAAGTCTGTCAAGATCTGTTTCTGTTTGGGAACCGGGTCAGAATGATCGAGCTCGTCTTGCGAAGTCGTGTGCCCATGTTGAACGACGTTTCGAGCGGCCAAAACTGCGTGAGCCAAAGATCGTTTCTAAAAACAAAAAGAGAAATGATCAAAGTTGATATGGGAGAGATGAGTGAAAGGGTGAGTGGACCACACGTACCTCGTTTTCTTGTTGAGCAGCTTTGGAAGGATTTTTCGTCGTCAACATGAGGCCGTTTTCGGAGGTCGCATTCTTCACCACCACCGCAAAAAAGTCTTGCAGTTCCTTATCGGTGGAGGCCTTCATTTCCTTACCCTTGCCATAAGTTGAATGGCCAACGATGTAAATGGCGAGGGAGAGCTGATTGTTGGCGTCGGCAGTTTGAAAGAGGGCCGACATGCCACCGGACCGGTCATCGGTGACCTTGTCAGCAATGGTGAACAGGTGAGATTTGAGACGGTCCAAGGAAGAATTTGTAACCTCGATTTGTTGCTGCGTTATGGGCAACTTTTGCGGAATCCAACGAGGCTTATGATTAGCCTTGACGGGCCCCGAGCTTGCTTCCGGAGTGAACAAACCAAAAGTGATCATGAAATCGCACAGCTTCTGCATGACCACTTCGGGTTGAGCCACTAGGCAGACAGATAGATGTCAGTACACAAAATCAAGGAGACAACTGGTCAGTATCACTTACCAGGTGCAATGAATGGAGTAGGTCCTCTGACGGGGGATTTTTCTTTAACCGGAGAAGAGTGTCTGTAATCGAATTCGACCGGGGTGGCACTACTGGAACCTTCATAACCTTCATCAGCCAAATACTTTTTGGCCATCTTCATAAATTCGGAATCGGACCTGCAAATCAACGATCAGAATCAGTAAGTTGGATTTCCTTGGATTTTCAATTCGAAGACGTACTGGGCACTAATATCAGAAACATTCGACATTTCTAACGGGTTATCAAGGATGAAGGTTGAATTGGAGACGCTGAGAAATAGCGGGATGAATATGAAAGCTTTGACAGGGAATGAAGAATGATCGGATTGGTCTGAGTTGATTGAAGAGACTGTGGATATGGGTGTTCCAGAAAAATGACCAGATTTAGCGCGGCCGGAGTTCAATCGTGGTGGGCTACCCCATCGCGCCATCGAGGGTCCTCTCATCAGATTGGAGATGTCGTACGATGCAAAGGACTCGAGGTTCGTGAAGGTTGAAGAAAATTGAGGTTCGTGAGCGTTGTTGAGATTTGAGAAGACGGGATCTGGACAGGATCTGATTGTTAATGCTGATCCTGGTGGTTCGAAGCTCGTCTGGCTCCACGGTGCACGGACCATCAGGTCTTTTCGAATTTTGAACATTTCATTCTTTATGGAATTGACTGTACATCCATCTGATCTTTCCTATGTAATCTTTCACCTTTCGTGTCTTGACTTTTGACGTCATTCGGCAATAGAATCCCCTCTGGTCGGTAAACGGGTCGCAGGAGTCAGTTTGTACTTGAAAGAAAAACGTCCCTTGAAAGGTATTCATCAAGCTACAAAATTCACTTACTTAATTGCTTCAACCTTCATTCTAAACTTATTTAATTTTGAGTCTTCAATCTTCAATCTTCAATCCTCAAGACTAGAATCTTTACCAAAGCATCCTCGTACATTTCAGTCAATCTTTACCTTGCGTTCGATATTACTCTCCTTCGTGATCCCTAGATACAATTTTCTAAGTTTTGAAACAAATTCATTTTGGAATAGCCATGGTTTCGATGAGTCGAAAAGAAACTTAAGTTTAATGTTGATCCAATTTCAACTTGAAACATTTTTTTTTTCAAACAAAGGGATAAAGGAAGTGAGGTGAGGTGAGAGAGAAGGCTTGAAGGGGTAAAACTTAAAGTTGAGAATCCAAGAAGATTAGTTAGTTAATATTAAAGTTTAACCGAACAAGATCTTTCATTTCTAAAGGAGAACTCATCACGATTCACCAATCTTGAACAAAGCTTTTTCATCCTGCGCATACACATCAAGAATATTCTCAAGTCTTCTCTTCAACTAAAACTTCACACATCCCATAAGATATAAACTTCTCATCTGCAATACTTCACTACCGATTTTTCACTTACTCAACCTATCGACAATTTAATACCATCTTACTATACAAACCGATCAGAAATTGAATTTACCAATCATCCATCAAACTTCATCGGATCGTGTGTTTGTGTTTGTGATTGAAAATGGTCTCTTTCTTTCGAAAGTGGAAGACTACATCACCAGGTAAGTTTTTATATCTACTATCAATCATTTTTATACTTTCAAAACTAACTAATTAATGATTTCAAGGACAATCTCCATTACTTTCTCATCCATCAAGTCCATCTCAACACATCTCAACCACAAGTTTAATCAGATCCAAACCTATCTCATGGATAATTTACATTTCAATAATCTATTCAATAATCTTAATCGATCGACATTTCATAAGAGATTCAAATCTTTCACAAACCAATGCTTGTTCAACTTATCATTTGTTAAATGCTGTTAAATCAAAAGCTTGTTCAACTTTTCCAAATCGGGTTTATCATTCTTCTACTCTTAAAAAATATAAATCTAAGTTTTGTGAAGATTTAGAAGAAAAAGAAAAAGAAAACGTTTGGAAAGAAAGTTTGTTAAATGAATTTATTCAACATGATCATTCGAATTCGCTTGATCATCATTCTGTAAATTCGAATTCTAGTTTGGAGTTTAAAGTTGTGGATCAACTTGTTGAAGAGAAATTGGATTCGATCGAAATCGAAATGGATAGATCAATGGGTATGAAAAGATGTGAAAAGAATTTTCCTAATTTGTTTTACGAATTAGAAAGAGTTGTAAAGTTTTATAAAGAATCAAATAAAAAAGTCACGTCTGAACAACTTGGTAAGTCTTCTTTCAACAACTCTTCATGTCATCTTTTTTGAAAAACTTAAGCTGATTGATGGGTGAATCTTTTTGGGAAATTAGATGAAGCTATCAAAGTGGGACACGCAAGGGTTTTGATTTATGAGAATCGAGTATATATCAAAGAATATAAAGGGTGATTTTCCAAAAACCTGAATCCAATTCTCCCAATTCAAGTTCACCATCACTAAACGGGATTTTTCTTTACCTTATAGTGGACCAGGAAAACGTACAGAAGCATTATTAAACTCGATTCGTAAGTCAATCTATCTATTCCAAATCAAAAAATCAAAAGAAGAAAACTAAGCAAAAGAAGGTCTTGGAAAAACCTTTCACAGAAGAAGCCGTGATCACTTCACCAGAACGATTACCAAACATAGAATTCGTAGTAAAAACAGTAGACGCACCCACAGGTGAAGAAACGAAATTACCATTATGGGTTTTAGATCGTACAATCGATCAAGAGGATGTTTGGCTTACACCGGATTACGGATTTTATTCTTGGCCTGAACCGAAGGTGGGAAGTATGATTGAAGTTAGAGATAAGTGTAATGAGATTGAAAAAAAGTTGGACTGGAAAGATAAGATTCCTAAGGCTTTTTGGAGAGGTGCGATTTTGGTCAAACTTAGAGAAGTAAGTATGTGTGTGTGTATATATTTTGAAAATCTTTAAAGATTCTGGTTTTCCAGAGAAAAAGATTGGTTAATGTTTCTTTAGATGATTGATTGATTGATTTATTAATGTGTTTTATTTTATTTTTTTTGATGTGTTTTGGGATTATAGCAAATGATTGAGATTGCAAAAGGACATGAATGGAATGATATCAAACCGATTGTATGGCAACATTTAGATGGATTATTAAAAACTCCAGAAGAACATTGTCAATATCAATACTTGGTTCATGCAGAAGGTTATGCATATTCAGGTAGATTGAAGTATTTACAAATGTGTCGTAGTGTGATCGTTTCACATGAAATGAAATTCATTCAAGTAAAACTTTTCTTTTTTTCTTCTAGAATAATGATTGATCAATTTACTGATTGTTTTTTTTGCTTCTTCTTCTTCTTGCGGGTGGGATTGGGGTTTCTTTTCTTTTCTTTTCTTTGCAGCATTTTCATCATTTATTAGATTCGAATCCTAATTCACCTACCCAAAACATTGCATTAGCTAAAGGACCTGGATTCGAAGGTTTACCTGAACTTATGAAATCTTTAATCAATGATCAAAAGAAATCAAAATCGATTGCAGAGAATTCGAATCGATTGTTTAAATATTATTTAAGTCCTGCTGGGATTTCTTGTTATTGGAGACAGTTGAGTTCTTGCTTTTTTTTCTTTGCTTTCTTTTCTAAGGAGGGTAAAGGGAAGATTGAGTTTTTCTTGGTGGGGTGCGGGTTTTTTGATTTGTAGGATGTTTAGGGCTTGGTCTGAAGTTCAAGGATTTGTTCCTCAGAGATTAGATAATTATACGGCTTTTGAATCTTTCAAGTTCGTATTTAAACCTACTCACTTATTAACACAATACTTTCTTCGACTGAATCTCTTTTTCTTCTTTTTGGTTTTTCTTTAGTTTAATGCATACTGTTCAATGGAATCCTTATTAAAGGAAAAGAAAAAAAGTAATCGAAGTTTAATATAGATATTATGGATTGTTTTTTTTGTTTTGGTGGTTCGTTCGTCTTTTGTTTCTCTTTAGGGTTTTGTTTTGTTTTGTTTTGTGTTTCATTTTAAATTTGAGTTTTTCATTTTGATTTTGCATCTCTAGATTTCCTTAATCACATTGTGTTTTTTTTTTGATTAGTTAAAAATTAATTTAGTGTTTCTTTAGATTTGATTGGTTTTTGGTAGTAGTAGTAGTTTTGATTTTAATTACATACATATATCTATCTATCTATATCTTTGTAACGTATTCTTTTTGATCTCTTTTTTGGTTTCTGTAACTCTTTTTTTTTCTTCTTTTTTTGGGGGTAGGAGATGAATCTGTCAAGGGAAATTGTTTTTTTGGATCGTTTTTTTTTTGATCAAATAAGGAAATGAAAATAAAAATCTGGATGATTCTTCTTAGTGTATTTGTATTAACATTGAAAATTGGAACACCTATCCTGATAAGTTGTATCTGTATCTTCAACACAAGTTCTGGATAATTGAGAGCTAGTGACTTCATGATTGGAATGGAGAATTGGAAGAGGTTCACTAGAAATTAATTCTTTCTTGTACTACTACCATCTCACCACTCCTTAACTTGTCAAGAAAGTATGTTGTGAAGATCTAATGTGATCTCATCTCAGTGAAACAATGTATTGACATAACATTATCAGACAAATAAGGTGCATAGATGTAGTACAAGTAATGATTCCAAACATGGTACAATTTTATGTGCTGTGATCGGATGGTATTGAGAAAAGGTATCACCACTTTGCAGATACTTGATACAATAGGTCAGTGGAGTGTCCCTCACCCTGAAAATTCAGTTAGTCAAGAGAAAAAGGAAAAAAAGTCTTCAAGTTTACCATTTTGTACAGTATAAAGCCACACTCAGAGGACAGGTGTCCTGCCTGGAATTTGGAATACAAGCACTGTTGTGGTTGATCTGAAGTCAGAACCGCACCAGCCTTATTCTCATGGTCTTGGTTCCATGAGGTTGCAGTGTGATCCTCAATCTTGATGATGAGTGTGATGTTTTGTGATCTTCTATCTTTGGACTATGCCTTATTCAGTTGAAGTTCTCATTTTTATCTTTGAATTTCATTTCAAATTCTCATTGATTTTTATTTTCATTTCGCACTGTAAGTTTTTTATCATTTACTCCTTTCTAATTCAAGTAAGCTTTATTTGAGTCTTTACCTTACTCAGGTTTTGACCTCTGTTGTGACACTTTTCCTTTTGCATCTTGAAGAAAAAACCTGATTTTACATTTGAACTTTGCTGATCTCATGCTCTTTTCTCCAACAATACCTTGAGATCTTCAGGTAAAGTGATTTCTAAGCTAGGGCCAACTTGATTTTCTTTCTCTAAACCTTTAGAGGAGAAGAAGAGTTGATGCGTACATTTTGAATTTAAAGTTGAGTGTGACCGGTGGCTTTGACCAGTGCGACCGAGATAACCCGGTCGCAGCTTCGGTGTGCTAGTGGGTGCCCCTTGATTATTGAGCATGAAAATATCTTCTGTCAGGGCTTGATGCTGAGGTGAAAGGTCAAGATATGCCATGGTGCCACCATCATGAATCAGACACGAAGTCGTATCGCCCCTTCTGCGAGACGACTTGTGAGTCGTACAGTTTAAATTAATCTATGCATCTTTTCAGTCTTTAGTTTGCGGTTCGAGGATATTTAAGAAATCTTTTTGTCCGAGAAGAATGCGGTACATGGGTTTTCCGGTAATAAATATACGATGGCGGTGCTGCCGAAGTGAGGCCACCGGCGGCTAAGAAAATCACTGAGGTACATTTCCAAAGGCATGATGAGAATGAGATAGTCAGATTTCTTTGTCAAGATTGAAGTCATTTCTTTGTGCAAAGTCTAAAAACAGTTCAACATGTTTCACGACTGGCGGTCCACCTCTACCACCCTTGCCGGTAGTATATGCGATAGCGGCGCTACCGCAGTGATGCCAACGGTGGCTGAGCTCAAGGAAGTCACTGAAGTCTCAAAACCTCATGAGATTTGTTAGCTCGAATGTTTGAAACACAAAAGTGAGCTTTGTCGGTCTCTTCAAATCCCTCAGCAAGGGAAACTCTGGCAAGAAAACATCCCTTGCAAATGTCATGATTCGAATTTGAACGTTAAGCTCTTAGGTTGAGGATGGAAAAGAATCTGTTGAGGGAAGAAGTTGAGAAAAGGCTGAGGGCTTTTGAGCTGTTTAGTGAACACATATCGAACGAGTTAATTTCACTCAATGCTCATCAAGCTCATTCTTCCATAAAAGGAGCACATACTTGATCTTGGTCAAGGAAATATCTTCTTGAATTCCATCGTTTCATTTATCAATCCCACCTTTTTATGAATTTTATACAATTATCCAATGAAATGGCTACAGAGCATGTTCAAGATATTGAGAAATCGAATTCTTCGGTTCCAAATCATTTTCAACCTCATCATACTTTTAACCCACCAAATATCTTTTCATATCTTGCTTCAGAGGATGATGATTTAAGACTTAGAGCTTCAGAAGCGTATGCCAAAGTTATACAATCAAGTAAAGAAGTAAGTATCCTTTTTGTCTCTTTTTCTTACCGAAACACACATTTGATAACTGTGTTTTGATACTAATTTTCTTGTTTTGGTTTCTTTGAAGGTGGACAAACTAATCAAAGAAAGAAACAATGAACTTCAATCAATTTTAAATCAAATCCAAAGTGATAAAATAAAAGAAACCAATCATCGAAAACAATTGAATTCATTGGCTTCTTATGAATCAAAACTCAAAGGTTTAGGTAGTACAATCAAACAAAATACCAAAAAAAGAATTCATCGTTTACTTGCAGTTGAGTCATCTTTTCCTCTCATCATTCCAATCCTAAAATCATTTTTTGTTCTCAAGTTCCAGTGATTGAAACTCATTAAGTTTTGTCTGCTTCGAAATAGCATCCATACTTGAACATAAACCGAATATCTTCTGAAATGTATAATTCATCACTCCAACCTCCAAAAGAATTATCAAATTTTTCAGAATTAGGTTCATCAAGATCACAATTCAATCAAATTCAAGAAACTCCTATAATTTATCACCCATCAATCAATCAAAAGATTTCTCAATGGCAAACAAATCTTTCGAAATCTGATTTAAATCCAAATATACCTTCTCCTGGTAGAGAAATGAGATGTAAAGAGTACTCTGCTTAGCATTAAAATTTGAGCAATGTTACTTTGGTGATACTTTTTTTTACTTTTCTGATAGATCTAAAGAATTTGTTGATAAACTTGTGAATTGGTTTATATTCACCAAATAAAAGCAATATAGAAATGAAAATTTTCCTCTTATATTTTACCTGTATATACCGTATGTAATTTAAATCGGAAACTCTTTCTCCCGGTAGAGAATTTGTAAATGTGATGAGTAGACCTGACTGATGTGCCACTCGATGAGTGAGTTTGCGAGAGAGGGTGTGATACGTACTCCGCAAGTCACTTTTTTGTCTGAAGTTTAGAATTGATCAATGACAAAATGATGATAAAATTAATCTAAATCCGAGCAACGCTTCTACTGATAGAGAATCTGAATATGATGAGCGTCACATTGTGTTTTGGTTATGCTTTTATTTCCTCTTAATAGACTTCAAGATCATGTGAATAGAATTAAGAATTGATTTACATTTACAGGTCAAATAAAAAAACATGAAGTTCTCTTCATATATATAGTATCAATACTTTCAATAGAAATCATTTTTACGTTTATCGAAAAAAATGAAGAATATTTCATTGTTGTAATTTATCTGAAACTAATTCAAGAATTTCTTTTATACTTTTTCCTGTATTCGATAAATCTTTTACAGTAGATTGCCAAACTGGTCCATGATGTGGTTCGGCATTTTTACATCTTTCAATTAACATTGAGCTTTCTTCCTAAAAATGATTAACAAACAAAACAAATAAATCCGTCAGTCATATCATAAAAATGTATTAGAGACAAGAAAAAAAAACAGATGGATTTACCTCAGTCCCATGCATTTTTAAAAACTTATAATAAATTCCCCAAAAATCACCAAAATCAGAATCCGCCACAATAGCTTTCTCTAACCAATTCCTAACCTTATCTAATTTCCTCTCAGCCCATAACAATCTAGCCACCGTAACAATCACCATTGGATGATTATTACATTTCTTAAGTGCATCTACACCTCTTGCTTTTCTTTGTGGTCTAAGTTCATACCAAATAGATTGAGAATAAAGTAAACCAGAATTAGGACAATCTTGTAGTGCTCTAGACATCATATTCTTAGCTTGAATTCCAACTCCATTAGCATTAGTAGAAGATCCAGTAGTATGACCACTTGATCTTTCTTCAATCGAACAACTTTCGGACCATAATTCTTCATTCTTTGGATTATAATGTCTTGCTCTTTCCATGATTGCTCTTGCTTTAATGGTCATTCCTACTTTTTCTTCTAATCTAGATGATAAGATCCATAATGGTATACTTTTTGGACATTTTTTAGTTCCGATTGAATAGGCTTCCCTTGCTCCTGATAAGTTTTGTTTAGATTCTAAAATTTGTCCTTTGATCATATGTAGTTTTTCAGAAGTTGGAAATTTAATTAATGCTTTTTCTGTGATTTCTAATGCTTCATCAACTGATCCATGTTGTCTTTCAAAAACCGCATTTTTCATCCAGATCTACTCATCAGATATAACAAAACCAAACAATCAATATTCAATATGATCAAAATTAAAAAACGATAAATAAAATGATTAAGAAGTACTCAACTCTTTCTGTTCCAGCTACATCTCTTGCTCTTTTCATCAACTGTTTAGCCGCTTCGATTTGTCCATTCTCCGATTCAAGTTTAACAGCAGCTAACCAAACTTGTTCACTTTCAGGATTAGCTTCAAATGCGTCACCTAAAATCTTTCTTGCTCCATCTACATCACCATTAGATTGCCAACATTCTTTTGCAGCCATTAACCATAGAATTTCAGAATGAGGACAAGCATTGACAGCTTTTTCTAATAATTTCAATAATGAATCTTTAGTACCGTACGATTTTTCCAAGTCAGCAGCTTTTCTCCATATGTCTGATTTGTTTGGGTACACATTTAATGCATATTCATAAATCGCTCTAGCAGTTTCAATATACCCGTTAGCCAAAGAACTTTGAGCATCTTCTAACCAAACATCTCGTCTATCTTCATCTTCTATATCTAAATGAATTGTAGCTTTGATGATCGCTTGACAAGTGACAATACTTTTTTGTGATTCACATTTTTCGGCTTCTTTAATCCATTGTTCTCTAGGTAATTCAGCTCCATTCTTTTTAAGTGCTGAAACTCCTTTACTCATCAATCCTTCAATCCGATCTAATTCTTTGCCTTCTTGTTCTTCTAACCTACAAGCTGAAATCCAAATTTGATGACTTGTGGGAATCGTTTGACGTGCTCTGTTCAACACTTGTTTGGCTTTATCGGGTGTTTCTAGTCTTGCGAGTGTTAACCAAAGTTCATCGGAGAATGGAACGACTTCTACTGCTCTTTGAAGTAAAATTCGTGCATCTGAGGGGTTTTCTTCTAGGTTGACAGCCTCTGAGAGAAAATAAAGAGATCCGAGATTAGTGTCATGATGAATAATGTAGAGTTGTTGAAGAATCAAGTACCTTTCCATAGTTTTACGGATGTAGGAATATATTCTAATGCTTTTCTCATCACTCTTTTCTTGGCAGGGATTTCGTGTTCCAGACTAACAGCCTTCAACCAAATCTTGACCGAATGTGGAAGATGAGTAACCGCATCTGCCAACACTACCTTGGCATTTTCGGGTGTCTAGGAATCAAGAGTTGAAGTCAGCTTTTCAAATTCGATCATTCGATTAGGATCAATAAAATTCAAAGTTACATTTAGATTCGCATTCTCAAGCCAAGCATCTTCACTCTTTGGACATTCTTCACAAGCTTGAGCCATAATCTTTCTAGCAGCCACTTGTTTACCAGCAGCTACTTCAACTCTAGCAGCAGCGATCCAACCGGGCGCATGTTTTTTATTACTTTTGATTAAACTATCTAATAAAGCTCTAGCTCTTTTAATATCACCAATCTCAGCTTCAGTTTTGAAGACGATTGAATTCATTTGAGTTAGATAACCTTTTGGATCGATTGTAGTTGAACCTGAGACTGAATCTTTAACTTGATCTAACTTCAATCCTAACACTTTATCTCTTGCAGCCCCGATTTCCACAAAATTGGTCATCACACCTGATCCATCACTAGAAGTAGTAGTCGAAGCAGGCGTAATATCACCATTCATTTGTCTACTATCTAAACTAGTTTCAATTCCAACTTGATCTCTTTGACCTAATAAAACACTATCAGGTATAGCATAAGTTCTTAAATTACCTTCTTTTCTTAATTTCTTATGACCTCTACCAGCTAAATTTCCAACTTCAGGTAAAGATTCCCATTCAGAATCAGTAACAGTACTTAATGATCTTTTTAAATCGGCAAATTGAGTTTGAATCTTTGGTCTTTCAGATTCTAATTTTTCGGCTTCTAATCTTTCTCGAATCTCTCTTCTTAATTGTCCTCTTCTTTCTAAATGTAAATCAATGGATTCATAGATTTTATCCGCTTCTTCATCTTCTTGATCATATGGTGCTGATCCAAACAGATTCGTTTCATTATCTGGATCTTGAAATTGTTCAGATTCTTCATTTTGGATTGTATCATCTTCTCCTCTTGCTAATCTAGCTGCTGCTATGGCTTCTGGCGTGGGTCCTTCTCTTGCTGGTCCTATATCTGATCGTGTTGTGAAACCTGATGCTCCTCGACCTAAACCTGCTACATAACTTGGTGGTGCCTGCATTTTAAGAAATGCATATCTGAAAACAAAGAGGAGATTTCGATCAATTGCGATTCACATTTATATTCGTAAATAAAGGAAATAGATGATTAGAATGAACTCAACTTATCAGGATTTGATGGTGCCATCTTGTTGAAGTGAATTGATGATAGAACAAGTTACTTCTGGCTTTGATTGATCGAACCAAGTTGAATTCTGGCCAAAGTATTGTTTCCTAATCTACAGTTTACTAAACTACAGTTCCACCAACTGTCAATTTTCAATTTTTTAAATTTTACTCAATGGTCAAGAAGCAAAAGAGGAACTAATGCGATCGAGCTCAGCATTCCTCAACTCAGCTCAGCAAACTGATTTTAAAATCAAATGAACTTTAACTTAATCACTTCAATCGAGTCATATTCATTTCGTTATTCAATCAATAGATCTTTATCACATCAAATACCAGCTTATCATCATCATCAATCTTCATTCTATCATCTTCAACAACATCGACTTTTCAATACTCAAGTTGGTCATCATCAATCAGAAGAATCGATCGGTTCAAAATATGATTGTACTTCTTTATCTAGTCAGCTATCCATCTTCTTCAATTCGAAATGGTTGAAGATCGACTGACTTTGCAAACCATCATCATCATCATCGTATTCCTCAGTCTCAAAATCTACATCAACACATATCAAGTTACCCCGTTCAGCAAACCGACCAGTATCATCCTCAAAAACCATTTCTTCGAATAAGAACATAATCGATAATCAAGGTCAAATCATCGAACCTAATCTGATTGCTCTCTTTACTGTACTCAGAGGACTGCAGTTTGGTTCTGGATCTCAACGTATTCGAATCAGATTAGAAGATCCAAAGGCACCAACACTGAATGAATCTGACTACCAATCGATTCGTACCCATCATTCTACTTTATTAACAGCATTACCAGAAGCATCTTTAGATATTTTTATCGAATACACACTCAAATCTAGAAATGATACCTTTACGAAAGGATTAATTGATGATTTACTTGATATTTCATCTGATCCTACTACAATCTTTACAATCTCTCAACGTAAATCAGGTTTACAGAAATTGATTGATTTGTCAAGAAGAAAAAGAAGGTGGGTATCTGAACTTGAAAAACGTTTATCATTTGTGACAGATGAATCAGTTTCAAATTATTTTCATCAACTTATCAATCTGACTCCAATCAAAGAAAGAAATTCATCATTGGATTGGATTGGATTAAGTTCCGAAAACTTAAGATGTGTAATGAAATCACTTAGAAGATCAAATCATCATCTATTTTGGGATATCAGTTTAATGGAAAACATTTGGATGAAAATGATTCAATCAATATCAAATGATAATCGTATAGAAACTCATGCAAGATTTGGAATTAGATCAATATTCAAATGGATTTCTTATACTGATAATCCTGAATCTCAAAATCATCCGAATTTATCTTTCAAAATCACTCAGAATACTTTATCATTATGTTTAAAGATTTATAGTCAATTAGTAGAATGGAATTATATCCGATCAGAAGATGTATATAGAACATCATTAGAAGATGAAACTCTTGAACCTCATCATCAAGCGATCATGACGATTTTAGGGTCTATAATTAATACCAGTATAAGACGATATAATTCAAAACGATTAGGAAGAGATAATGCTAAACTGTTTAAAGATTCATTTGAAGCTTTAGAAATCCTTTGGAATCAAATGAGAGTACAAGGATCGATTTCTTATCAACTTGAACAATTCTCAATCAAATTAATTCAAACGTTTAATCAAATGGCCAAAATCGATCAACGATCTCCTGCACCTCCAGTGGCTAATCTTTTACTTAGGTTTTCTGATTTGGATGCAGTAAGAGAACGTAGAAGTGAAGAACATACACTTACTTCTGATGATTTGTTATATAAGAATACATTGGAAACTTTCTTTGATTTAGGTCGTTCAAGCCTTTTAGTTGAAACATGGTTAAACCTTGTACCTCGATTAAATTTGGCTAAACTGGATTGGCCATTACTTAAATTGATCAATTCATTAGAAGAATTATCGAATCCATTAATAAGAGGTGAACGTGGTAAACCATTGAAACCATTTAAATTAGTTAAATTAATTCTTTATCTTATGAATTCTTTATCAAATGAAACTGATAAAAGGATGAAACCAAGTAGAAAAAAAGCTTTTAGAGTTTTAATGGAACATCCAAAAACCCAAGAATTTGATTGGATCAAGATCCCATTACGTGAATTTGATAAAGATGGAATCGAAATCAAAGAAGAAAGTGAAAGTTTAGAAAGATTTGAAGAAGGAAATTTGAATTCGATTCTAAGGCTTTGGAAAACTTCTTGGGGAATTAATAGGAATGAAGAAAAAGAAATCGAAAAGGTTATTAATCCATTACCATTATCATTACTTAAATCGATTACCAAATTATATGAAATCAAACCGAATGAAAAAACAAAAGAAATGTTAAAAGAATCTATTACGATCTTTATTACACATCGTACTTTACCTGTTATTAATTTAAAAACTAAAACTAAAGATCAAGAGAATGATAAATTTTTAAACATCAAAAATACATTTCTATCACATGAAGAAAGATCACAATTGATTTCATCACATTTAATCATCAATAGTGAATTAAGTCATAAGTTTTGTTTTGAATTGTTTCAAGAAATTCTGGATGATCAACTTGTTCCTTCTTCTAAAGATTTAGATAATTTGTTTGATTTGATTAAAAAGGGGTTTGGGAATAAGTTTGCAAGTGAGTTTTGGAAGTTTAAGATTGATCAAATCGGCTTTAGAGCTGGTAATGATTGGAGAAGTAGGGTTAGGAGGACGGATGGATTTGATGAGGATCAGGATGGTGGGATTCTGAAGGAAAGGGATGAGTTGAAGTGATTCTTTGTTTTGAGGATTTCCAAAGACAAACAACTTCAAAAGTCATCACGAATCCTTTCGATTTCTTCTTGCTGGTCTGTGTCACGTAATTAATTCTAAGATTTTTTCGATTTTAATTGAACATTTTTGAACCCACTTATGTAGATTCACTTTAATAAAAACTTGAAGCTATAAACAAAAGCTAATTACAAAACTTTTGATTTTGAAAAGAAAAAAGTTTGAATTTAAATCTACATAGGTCTGAGTTGATGGAATACATAATCCAATTCGTTCTTGCATTGAATTGCTTTATGAAATGCTTCAAAAGAGATCAGAGTACGTTCATGCAGAAACCCAACATCCAAAACAAGCTATCATAAGTTACCGTAGAACAGGTGGATTGAAGGGGTTGCTTGACTTTTTCAGTCGAACCTTCAAGATCTCAAGTCTACGCATTTTCCCATTTTGATTGCTACCACCACTAACTTAGTTGGTGTCAGTTCATAGCTATGCTAAAGCATAGGCAAATTGGGCTGTGATTGAATCCTCTGGAATGATGGAATGGCAGGTCCTGATTTAGATTTTCAACAAGTGCCATTGTTTTTGTGGTGCTTAGTTGAGTCTTATAAAGTCACCATGGAATGAGGTTTGACTAAACCATAACATGTTATTATTGGGATCAATGGATTAGTCCCACATAAAAGACATTCCTCTGGGTTTGAGTTCCTGTTAACTCACCCTCTGTTGTTGCATACTTGATTGTTGACTCAGCCTTTTTGGCCACTTTTTTGTTACTAATCCTATACACCAAGGGTGTTTAGGAGGTAACACATATAGCAAGTACATAGGGACTTGGTGAAAAGAACATGGCGATTGAATTGATGCTATCCAAAATGTAAATACATAGACAAAAGACTTCACGCAAGATGATTCAAGGATGAAAGGAAGGAAAAGAGAAGGAAATAGAGGGGGAACAGAAAGCATAAGATACTGTACAACTCTGGTTTCTGAGATCACACCTTTGATAGAGGGAAATGCAATCTATGGAGGAGAATCAAACATCCTTTGAATAAGTAATACTAACAGCAACATTGAAGTCGACTGCTCTGAATGTTGTGGGTTATCTGGTATTTCGAGCATCAGAACACGTGTCTTGTTTTATCTGAGCTTGCATGATGCCGAATCACATTCTAAATGCCATTGTAGCCAACATGGTCAGGTTCGATTCCATTAGACAGTAACAGTCAGTGATAGGTTTATATCATATACTTAATCACGTATGAGTTGAAAATAAACTTACGCTGATACAACTGTGGTTTTTTGCAAGTGTAGGTATTTGCAGTTCCTGCAGGATAAAAATGATAACAAACTTTTTGTTTTTAAAATTAACAAAGTACAACAAAATTTGTATTTAAAAGATCAGTAAGGTCTCTCAAATTAAATAAAACTAAAATGGATAGTCGAGTTAAACCAAAAGGTATAAAATGAAAAATTGACTCAACAAATAGGACGATTTGGGTCGCCCATTACGTTTTCGTCCATTCCGGCATCGCAAGTAAAAGCTCCGTCCGTAGACAATTTTTGTGGACCAACACAGTTAATGGCAGCTGTGAGATGATTCAACAAACGAGAAGGTAAGTCGTCTGTTATCCATCTGGGAGTGCACATCTATTCAAAATGAGAAATTTGTTTCGCACTGGGGAACTTCTTATCATTCCTGTGGCACGTGTCACACCAGTATGAGCTAGGGACCCCATCAAGCGTACGACCGCACTCTTTAGTCATGAAGATTATTGGACAGAAGATATTTCACGTCAGTTCACAATCTCCTTGAAAATGTTGAATCATTGGGTTGCATTTGAAGAAGTGAAAAATACAGCTTGAAGGGAAAAGTTGAACTAACTATGTTTCTTATTAGTATTCCACGGCCCTGGTGGTTCCCAAAATGAGTTGCATTCTATGGCATTAGCATCAACGAAGATATGCAACCCAAAATCTCCTGCAAACAGAAACACGAGCACAAGAATAAAAATGGGGTTTAATGGCTTCCAAGACATATTTCGGATCAAGTGGCTCGAGTTTGATGAGAAAAGGTTATCGAGCTTTCTTTCTGAGATTGAGTGTATTTAAGTCTTAAAATGTTTTGCTCAAGCTAATAATGACAGTGGAGAAATAGAAACATTGGCAAAAAAGAAACAGTGGAGAGATAGAAACTATTTACGGAGAAGTCTACTAGAGAGACATACATGGAAACTTGCTGGGCAACAAACCAGGGTCTGAATCCTATTGTGATACGTGCAAATAAAAACACTTCTTACGTAATGCGTTGAAAGTTCTTTGACCAAAGTAGACCCTTGACAATGATTTCCTAGCTTGAGTTGAATTCATATCACTTATCCTGTTCGTTCAAGTTCAACAACAAAAAGTGAGAAATAATGTAATTAAAATTCTTCAACCCTTGAACTCGATCCAATTGTGTTTGTTGAACTTCCAGGGTCAAAGATCGCAATCAATCAGCCGAGCAATGGGTGACAATAATTTCCACTCTTTTTTCTGATTTTGCTGCTTTTTGTGTCGCGAAGAGCTGCGCCTAACGCGCCAGTAGCGCCTATGTAGACGCGTCCCATAGGACATGATGGGAGGTTCATGCTGTTGAGTGCGCGTGCGCATTGTAGCGTGCGCACCAGTAGCCGCTTTGCCGATCAGAAAGTTGAGAAGTCAAATTTGGATCCAACCCAATCCAATTCAACAAATTCTTGAAGAAACAATTCAAGAAGTTCAACAAGTTCATCAACCAAAGCAACAAATCTTAAATCAAAAATGAAAACCAAAACTCCAATCTCACTCAACTTAATTGTTTGTGCAACCGTAGGAAATGGAATTGGTAAATCAGGAAAACTACCTTGGAAATTAAAAAAAGATATGAAATATTTTAAATTTATAACTTCTTTTATTCCTTCTTCAAAATCAACATCAAGATTAAAATCGACTGAAATCGAAAACCAAAACCAAAACTTAAAGAATGTAGTGATTATGGGAAGAAAAACATGGGAAAGTATTCCAAGGAAATTTAAACCTTTAGAAAACCGAATTAATATAATTGTTTCTAGAAAACAAACCTATGAATCACTTGGATTGTAGGTCTTTCTTTTTCCAACGATCATCATTTTTCTATCCACCAAAAAAAACATTTTCCATCAAACTGATTCTATTTTTTTTTCTTTGATCAGATCAAAAGATTCAAAAGACGTTTATTTAACCAATTCGATTCTAAACGCCTGTGAAATCATCCAAACCCTAAACATATATAAAACTTATTTAATTGGAGGATCTGAACTTTATAACCAAATCATCAAAACCCCAATCCTAGCAAACATATACGAATTAAAAACGATTTTATTAACCAGAGTTTTAGGTGATGATGAAGGATTTGAATGTGATACGTTTTTAAGTGATTTTAAGGAAACTGGAAACTGGAAAATGAGTGACAATCAAAGGTTTTTGGAATGGATCAGTTTGGGAATCGATGAGGGTGAAAAGATTGATTTACAGGATGAACTTGGGTTTAATCTTTTTGAAGTTAATGATGATGATGGTAATAATCAAATCGAATTTCAATTATGGGAACCTAATTCATTAGCTTCTTCGAAAGAGAATTGAACAATGTCAATATCATACTAATAATCTTTCTTTGGGTTCTTTCTTTTGGGTCCTATTGTAATGTAAATCATCTTTCTTATTTATTGACCCTATCAATCATCAAATGAGACCACCATAGAATAAGTTACTAGATGAGCCTGATGGGTTGCTGAATTGCATATAAGGAAGAACCCGTGACTGACATGCTAATCAACAGAAAGACATCAAGAAATGATGTTATCTGAAGTAGCCAATCAAACTCTGTTCTAGGCTTTGAAAATCTTGAAGGGCTGGACCAAAAGACTTGATTTAAGAGATGGAGGCCTAAGTTACAATTAAGACACTTGATGATGAAGTCTGAACACGTGCCGTCATCTTTCCCTTCCCATATGATGATTGGGAATCTAATTGAATCACAATGAGATTTCAATTGGGAGGGGCCAGTAGAGCAGTGTTGGACGGATCACACAGCCCTTGGAAATGTAGAAGGTTGTATGACCATTGCATTTGGATTGTAAGAGCATTGCCAGTGCCACCAATCCAGTGACCCTAGAGTGTCAGCCAACGTGAGAGCCACATACAAAATGTGATCCAGTTTCAAAAGCTTCAGTGGTGGATTGTATTCGATAGTTGACTGAAAAGTAAATGTTTATGAATTCTCCTGGGATGAAAGGAAGGCTCAGCAAGCTTGAAAGGGTGTCACTCTTTAACATTTGAATGGGAGTGATAGTCTTTTGTACATGTTAATGGCTGCCAAGGGCCAAACACCAATGGATTTGAATTGAACATGGTATCAAGATAAATCATTGCTTAAAAGTAAATGTGAAAAAAAACAAGAAAAAAGAATTTAGGCATTTTTCTTTGCAACCAAACTTGTTTTTTTCTATAAATCAACTTCTCATTCATTAATTCTTTTTTTTTCATGTTTCATGAAATCAAACCAAAAGAAAGAACAATTAAACCACAAAGAATAAAGAAAAAAATAACATCTCATCTCATCTCATCTCATCATATTAACTTACAAAAAAAAAACTTGATTGAAACCCAATTTAAAGAGAAAAAAAAAGAAGATTAAAGTCACAAGAGAAAATTCAAATAAAGAAATAAAAAAAGATATTTATATATATATATACTTATAACAGAGACATAGAACCCAATAATAACCCAAAGACTGGAAATCTGACAAATAACGACTAATCAAAAATCAAAAAAGATTCTACTCTTCTTGCTTGTTTTTTTCTTCTTTAATTTTTTTTGTAGAATAAAAGTGAGGTTGGAAAAGTCGAGTCCAGAAAGATGTAGATTAATAATTTTATCTGTTTATGTGACCCTCACACTCACATTTTCTCTCCCTGCAGCTAATCCAACAAATTCTTCAAAATAAGAAACCCATATCAACCTATTCCATCTGACAATACATAACATCTTTTTCAACTTCTAGCAATCGATGATCGCTTCATCTTCCATAATTGATGTATCGATTGACCTCTTTTCCTACCACCTTCAATCATAGTAGAACTTCTCACAAGTCCTCCATCAAATCCTTCTTGAAGATGTTCTCCAAGACCTTCATCAGTTCCTTCTCTATCTCCTTTCTTTTTCCTCGAATCCTCCATCTTTGCTGATCCAGATCCACTACTACTCATGGCAGAAGAAATTCGACCTCCCCAACTTTTACCACCTAAATGACTTAATCTTTCTAATGCGGCTGTTGCTGCACTCATCTTTCTAGATCTTACTTTCTTCATTCCCGCTTCTTCCTCTTCTACTTCTTCTTCATTCATCATCACACTTTCACCATCTCCTCTCTCATTTCTTCCAAACCTATACTTTGAATCAGTTCCTTGTGAATGTGCATTCCGACTCGTACGCTTCTTCATAGGTGTTTGTCCATCATCATCATTAAATTCGTTCCTATTTTGATAAGATTCAAATTGGTTCAAGTCCATAGTTGATCGACTTGTCAATTTACGAGTCCTTTCATGTTGAAGATTATTCCACTCATCATCACCGTTTTCTTTTCTCCTTGCTCTCTCGCCCGTACTTCTGATTTGCTCTTGACTGATGACATTTCGTAAACTCGAACTCATCGAAGCATCACTATGGTAACGACCTCTACTAGAGCCTAAAGCCAGATCTGAGTCGTCGCGGTGACCTGCACGGGAAAGCATTGTTTGGGCGCGATCAAGTATATGGCTCATCGAGCTCTGTGATCGATTGATGCTAGTTCCTAACCTCCTCCTTTGCTCATCTTCATCGTCATGGTAATCTTCTTCCTGTTCTTCCTCTTCATCACTATACTGTCTAGTCTTGATCACCCTTGAATGTGTGGGAGAATAGTTGGAATGCGCATTGAGCTCGGTAACTAAGCTTGTAGTCAATCTTTTTGGGGTCCTCGGAAACATCATCATCATCGATTGTGTGCCACGTATGGTGGTAGAGGTTGATTGATTAGTTGAACTACGTTGTGGTCGGTTCAAGATCGAGTGCGTGGTTTGGTTTCCTTCCATAGACTGACGTGCTGACTCTGTTTTTCCTTCAGAACGGTTATTACGATCAGAGATACTTGAACGTGATTGATGTTGTGACTGTTGTGAATGTTGTGAATCAAATGAGGTTCGATAGGATGCAAATTCATCAATTGGCTCATCACCTCGGCTAGCTCTTGGTTCGATACCACTATTACGTCAAGGGTATACGTCATCAGCTTTCTGATGAATCATCTTCATTCTTCAACTCAATCAAAAGGAAAGGAAGGGGATGAGACTAACGAAAGCCGACTTCTTATTGGTGGTCGATCTTTTTGGGCTCGCCCAATAGAATTAGTCCTTCCTACACCCAGCGAGTGATGTCGATTCTGAGCAAACGCAACTGTATAAGCTCGTGCGGGTAGGTCGATCAGAGACTGGCGGTCTCTACTGGTGGCTGCCACAGGGGACACAGGAGTGTTGTTAACACTGATCTTCTTACTGACTCTAGCCAATGGAGAGTCGTCATCGACAGAGTCGATGCGTGAAAGTGGAGTAATACCGCTGAATTGTCGCAGTTTGGTAGGACTCGCTGATCGACTTATATATCCACTCGCTCTACTTATCGACCTTGAATGACTACCCATCGCAAGACCAGACGAAAGGCGGTGGTCCTCACTGCTAATATTGGAAGTGTTCTCAAAGCGACGCATCGCATTTGATTCTCGTTCAGTTTGACGTTGAAGTTTATTGAGACAAATCAAAGTTTCCGTCAAGTCACGAATCTGATCATTAGATGATCTCACTAATTGACCATGCACTCGCTCAATTTGAGATCGCTCCGCTTGCATGATTTCAACCTTTCGTATTGTACTACTCGACTTTCGACTACTTGCTGGACCTGCATTGCGTTCATCATACCTATACCTTTGCTCACTGTCACCGCGTTCATCCTCAGCCTCATCGTCTAAGAGTTCTAATTCTACTTGTGAGTTGACCCCGGAGTCGACCAATTCTTTTAGGCCCGCATTGATCCTACAACTGTGTTTGACAACTGAAGAGACGAGTTGAACCAACAAACTGTGGGAATCGTCTTCTGAGTTTGTAGACGAGTTCCGAAGTTGACTCTGATCCAAGCTTTCTAGAGCCTCGATGAGCAATTTATGATGTTCAACTTCTGGCGTCGGACTCAGAAGGCCTGTTCCCAAGGCACCTGCACGAGAGGATTCAGCACGGGTGGGTGCACGTGTATTGGAAGTTACTCGATGATTGATTGAGTTGTTCAAATTGGGTGTTCGTGGGGGTCCACGACCACTACCAAGGAGAGATGCTTGTGTCATTCTAGATTGACCATGTTGCCGTCTAGATGAACCACCTGAGCTAGATGATTGATGATCAGCTATACTACCATGACGTGTACTATCCAGACTACCTCGAATCACATGAGTAAGTTGAAGACTTCCTGTCGATCGGGCGCCACCACCACCACTGCCGCGTACGGTGCGGTCTCTTTCTAGCGATGGTCTGTGTTTGGTGGGTGTGCTTGTCACATTGCTTCGCCTCATAGCGTTCAGCATTGATTCTGAGCGAATAACTCCATCTCGAGATGGGGATTCTATAATCATTCATTGAATAGATCTTGTCAGGACATCGAAGCAAAGTAATATACTAGATGCAAAAGTTGAGTCACCCTGATGTTTACTCCTACGACCACTTGACTCATTAGATCCAGCTGTATATGTGTTTGATTGCGGGTAGTTGTAAGTAGTAGCAGACAACCCATCATCATCTTCTTCATATCTAGCTCTGGCCTCTCGGTGGCCTGAGAAAATGGTATTATTCGAGTTCCAGTTCCGATTCCGTATCTGTCCGGTGGTCAGGTTTCGAGGATCATAGACTAAAAAACCCACACCATGACCAAAGATGTGATGGAGGGAAAGACAAGGGCATAATCAGCGAAAGTGAAGACCCTACAGTTTCATATCAACCTGATTAAAACCATCAAAGAAAACTACTATGATGAAGATACTGACCACCACCCATGACAGACTGAGATCGTTCGAGATGTCCCATTCCAAATTCGTCAGTCAGACTAGAGTGTTTAGTACGAAATAGTGATTTACCAGAACGATTGATGAAATTTTGAGAAGGTGATGGTTCATAGAATGATAAAGATGACTCTACTCCTCTTCTCAACTCTCTTACCGACATGGACCCGTTTATCATAGATGAAGAATAAGGCCCGCTTTGATCAATTGAAGAATTCCGGCTGTCGCCGAGCATCGAGCGACGCGAGTCATTGACCATGTAACGTTTTGGTGATTTTCTAGGGGAAGCTAGATTGTAGGTGTTATGACGGCGAGGACTTGGTAGCAAGTCAAGAGGTTTACCATGTCGATCAAATCGGTCTGATTTTGGATTGGAGGGTTCCATACTGTGCCGACGGTCAGGCGAAGATGTTGGGTCAAAAATCTGCTTGCCCGAATGATTTGACATGACAGCAGAGATACGAGAGCTCGATCGTCCATCTGAGCTTTGACTAGCTCCATTCGAACGTGGAGGCTGAATGAAATGATCAGGTAAACCAGGTCTCGGTCGACGTGAATAGGATTGAGGTGGAGATGATTGAGAGTTTGTAAGGATCGATTTGGTTTTGGAAGCAATCATCGCCGTAGATGGATGTGGTTCAGTTCGGCTACTAGGAAAGATGGAGGAGCGTGGTTTAGGATCATCCCACTCTTCCGTTGGTTGATTGTGACGACGGTAGTGAGATGTAGATGAGGCTCGAGAATATGTGAGAGAGGGATTAGCTACAGAATGAGCGGTCAAGTCCGGGTCGATATGATCTTCGTGTAAGGAGGGCCGAGAGGAAGGAAGAAGCGAGCTAGCGCGGGTAGGGCGGGTACCCGACCTTCGGCTCTTCAATGGCGATGAAGCAGGCAGGGGAGGACTGTTCTGGCGGACGGAAAGATCTTCTGACCTGTGCATGACATGATATCCTGAAGGAGGGTCATGTGACGACACGCGTTGATGATTGGGTAGGCCCGTCCTATGTACGGGGCCACGACGACTAGAGATAGATGAGAGGGGGGCGAGGACCGATCGAGAGGCTTGATGAAGATGGTCTTCAGCTGCAAAATTATTTACTGAGCTTGAGTGACGGAGCGGACCTGTTCGAGTCTTCACCGGCGTCCGCATCTCTTCTTCGGTCTCGAGTCGAGCAGGAACTCGATGGGCGTCATTGTCAACCCAATCCAGACGGTGGTCTATATCATCTGCATCGTCTTGGTCTTCATACTCTGGATGTCGATAAGAGTCAGAGTGAGTAGGGGAAGAAAGCGAGTCTCGTGAGCCTCCCAACCCTTTGCCAATGGTCTCGCTCGATGAGGTTTGCATGGATCTGGACTCTGACGGCTCGCGGCTGTGATTGCTTGATGACCTGCTATTTCTAGGCTGTCCATGCCCATGAAGCTGCTGAAGCTGAGGCAAGTCGGCGGACGTAAAATCATCAACCGAAGATGAACGTAGGCGATGATTGTCTATCGTCTGAGCCGCGGAAATACCGGTATCCGCACGCAGATTCGGAACTAGCTTCGACGTTTGCGTATCTCGCTTGGAGTGAGGGATTTGACTTTGTCTCATAGGCTCTTTGATTTTTACATCACCTCGATATTGTCTCTCATTATCCGGTGGTACTCCATGAGTCAACGTTCGGTCCAGATCGTCCTGCTCTCCATCGTCGGGAAGATTTTCTCCTGCATTTCCAGTCATCCCATCGTCATCTTCTCCCATCTCGAAACAACTAAGTGGCAGCCGTGAGCCAGGGCCCTTGCCGCGCACGCTGCCCAGTCGAACATCCTCGTCTCTTCCAGCTTCATCTTTCAAGGCTTTGTTTTGGCTGGGATTCGAGACCTTCCTAGGACTTGGACTGTATCCCTGAGCGAACGGAATGAGACCTGATTGACGCGGAATGGTCAGAGAGTTCTTTGAACTGCTTGTTGTTGGTCCAGGCGACTCCAAGTCGTCCAATGGTTCAGGGAGTGGCTCAGACTCGGACAGAACTGATTGAAAGGTTGCTGAACGATCGTCGAGATCAGACGATGAGCTGGAGGATGGAGATGATGAACCAGAGGAAGGTGGGGGCGGTGGTAATGGTGGCTCAGATGAAGGAGGCTGCTGATCACCTTTTGTAGGTGAAGTGGGCGGTGAGAGAGTGGCGTTGATGTTGGCGAGTATCTGATTTCAATGAGAGAGCAAATCGTCGTCAGTCAACGGAAAGGAGGATGAACACAGCAAGATGAGATACAGAAAACTGAACTCGTTTATTTTTCTCCTTCATACTGACGAGTCTCTTAGAGCGTTGCGAGCTCGGTGGTTCATCAATCTTTGAAAGAGTGCTTTGGGAGCGTCGTTCTCGGACCAGCACCTTGCTGCCTATAAGATCCAACGATCCGCTTGATCCGCTTGATCCGGTACGGCCGGGTCTGACACTGATTTTGTTTAGAGAGGTAATGGATAAATCGGACGGCGAAGCCTTGTGAAGGGTAGTGTTAGAAAGATCGTTGGTAGATGTACGCTTGGGGATGGGAACATCTGTGACCAGAGCCGGTGGAACGATTGTCTTGGTAGGTGAAATTTCGAGAGAGTGTCGAGGGGCATCTTTAGGAGCGTTTCCTTGGGATTTCCACACCGATGAGATTCGTCGGATCTGCGTAGTCTTACTGTTTCGAGGGAGTGTGGAAGTATGGGTAGGGTCAAAGTGAGAACGAGTGCTTGAGACTGATTTGCCCTCCACTGAAGAATGGTCCATGGAACGCCGGACTGAAGAATTGGTGGAGGTGATCGATGCTCGATGAAGAGTTGATGGTCGTGCTCTGGGAGGGTTAGATTCTTGTTTGAAGCTTGCCAGGGAGCTGACCGATCTCAATTGACGTAAGCGAAC